TTTTTTTTTTCGGTTAAGATTAGATATTCGCGAATTAAAATTTAAATTTAAAAAAAAAAAATTAATAATAACGTACAATTAAAATTTTTAAAATTTATAAACAAATTTATAAACAAATTTTTTAAAAAAGAAAAAAAAGAAAAGTTTTGAAAATGGCCCCCCATAACATTCGTGCATTATTTAAATCCCACCCAACGGATATAAATCAAACCGGAAAAAGTTTTTTAAAAAAAACGTGTAAGAAGAAAAAAATAAAAACAAACAAACAAACAAATAAATTCTTTCCAAGGAATTAAACGTATTGAAAATCGATTTTACAACACACACAACAGAAGCTATATTGTATCTTTTTTTTTTTTTTTTTTTTTTTTTTCCCTTATTAAAACAATTAAAAACAATAAAAAATATTTTGGATGATTTTGACTTTAAAAAAAGCAAAAGCAAAGTTTCTCAACTATGTAAAATCAAATATTAATTGTAAAAAATAACAATAATAATAATAATAATAATAATAATGAAAATAAAAATAAATAAATAAATAAACAAACATTCCTTAATCAAAATGTGCAAAAAAAAAAAATAAATAAATAAATAAATAAAAATTTAGACAGTATTACATAGAGTACAATATATATATTTATTGTAATTTCCGTTGGGAGTTTTATTTATTAATTTTATTTAAATTTATTTCGTACGAGTTTATTAAAATTTAAAAAAATTAAAACAAACCGACAAACAAACCAACAAACAAACCGACAAACACAAACCACCCATTTTCCCTTATCACCCAATAATCATAATCGAACCTAATCCATTGAGCAATTGATGGGATTCCTAATTATTAATTTTTTTTTTTTTTAATTTTAATAATAATTAAAATCCCTTTTGGTGATCCCCTTTGGTGATCCCTATTGGTGATCCCCAACTACAAAACTACACCCATTTTCGATCTATAAATAATCATTTAAGAAAAAAAAAAAAGAAAAAAAAACAAAAAATTTTTACATTGCAAATTTATATAGTTTGATTGACGTCATTTATATTTGCCAACCATGAAATCCGTTTAAAAAAAAAAAATTAGTAAACAAATAAATAAATAAATAAATAAAGTTTGATGCATTAAATTGCACTTAATAAAATTTATTTACCTAACTTCATGATAAAAAAAAAAATAAAAAATTTTTTTATGGTGCAAATAAAAATTGTTTCTCTACTACTAAGAAAAAAAAACAAAAGTTTATTTTTATTCAATTTATTTTCATTATATTTTTTGTTTATTATTATTTTATGTTTTCTCATTTATATATATAAAACTAAAAGAAAAAATTTAAAAACAAACAAAATAAAATGTCAATAAACAAACGAACAAACTCTTTGAAATTTTCACTCGTCTTTGATTGATTATGTTTATCATTTAAATAAGTCAATTATTTATTTATTTATTTCATTTTTTGGACTCAAAGCAATTTTTTTTTTTTTCAATTCAAAGCCAGAGAGGAAACTATTTTTTTTTCTTTTGGAACGTTTTAATAACTTATATAAAATTTTTTTTGCAAGAGTTACCAAAATCTATCGAGAAAAGTAAAACCATTTTTTTTTTTTTTTTTTTTTTTGTACTCAATAGTTATTAAATAAAAGTTATAAAAAAAGGTACTTTAATGAAAACTAAATCAAATAAAATCATTAAAAATTTCAAATCAATATTCGAGTTTGTTTAAAATTCTACCATTCATCTTCAAAAGAAAAGTCGAATAAAAAAAACGAATAAAGTCATAACTGAAATATTTTGCCTAGTTACCAGAGAGAATAATTAATTTCGATTAAGTGGTGGTGGTTGTTGTTGTTGTTTGATAAAATTTTGTTCCTAGTTTACTACTAATAAATAATTTAAATAAATAAATAAATAAATAATTATAATAGTTGTATGTAAATGACAATAAAGAAAAACTCGATAATATTATTATTTTTAAAAATCTTTTTTCGAAAAAAAAAAAATACTGTGTGTAATTTATTCATTTTTTTTTTTTTTTTAAGTTTATTTATACCGATTAATTTTTTTTTTATCAAGTTTTGAAATATATTAAACATGATAAAAATTAATAAATTATATTTAACATGATAATTTTTTTATTTATTTATTTTCCTATTCGATCAAATATTTTATCAGCAAGCGATTCCTACACGATTTAATTAAATTAATAGATAATTGATTTTTACTTGTTAATATGTACCAACCAACTAATAATAATAATAAATGTTTTTACCTAATTTGATAATAATACTTTTTTTTTTAGGTTATCAGGTGATAATTTTAATTTGAATTTAAGAAGAATAATTGATTGTTCGATTAATATCAAACAATATATATATATCGGGTCAAATTTTCCATTATTTATGTCAATACATGTAATTGATTTAGTAACAGTCTTTACAATTATTTTTATCTAAGAGATATTTTTGTAATAGTATTGTTGATATTGTTTAGGTCAACATAAACCAATTAATAAATGATTATTTATACAGAAGTAAAAATAAAAGTTGAAAATTCAAAAGATTTCCTTAAAAGACAGATTGCCTAATGACAAGAAGAAATTATCAAATAAATCATTTTGATGACTGATGAAAATTAAATGGCATTACACGATGTGTAAGAGTTAATTTAAGAACAATATGTTGCAATGTTGTTTGATTCATTTAAAATTGATAAAAACTAAAATATTCTTGCTTTGCAATTATTAAAAATACATTTTATGCGAATAATTAAATAAGACTAAGTTGAAAAATACGTAAAAAGCATCGATGCATAAGTTCCATTACCATTTCACAATATTAAATAAGATTTTCCGGTAATGTCATTAAATAATTAATTTAAATCGAAATTTAAACGTAAACATTTTTTAAAATTATAAATTAATAAATTATAAAAAACTTACCAATGTTTTCTTTGCTCGAATAAAACTAAAATATATAAATTACTTAATAAAAAGACATAACCTATCAACGATGAAATATTAATACGGTGACTGCCGAACTTTTGTTTGCCGCTTACAATGAGTTTAAGATTTCCACCATATTAATTATCGAGTTAAAGCCGGATTTGATTAAAAAAAAATATAAAAGGATTTATTAAAAAAACAAATGGATAAATCCGAAGATAATCGTAGGTATAAATGGTCAAGTTCAGCAACGAATTTACTTGTTTCCATTTGGTCACACGAATTGGTTCAAAATCAATTAGAATTATCGACTAGAAATCAACCTATATGGGATAGTATAGCTAAATACATGGGTAGAAAAGGATATTCGGTTACCGGATTACAATGTCGAACGCGAATTAAAAATATGTTATGCACTTATAATGAAGGAATTAAAAAAAATGACTTTAGTGGAGTAGAGCCATACTATCACATATTTAAAAAAATTTTAGGAAAAAGAAAATAAAAAAGAAAGGTATACGCACGATTCCTTTTTATTAATCCAGTTTAATAAGTTACATTAAAACAAAAGCATAATATTGATTCATTACCGGGTTATTTTTATTTTAAAGTTGTTTTTAATTATTTATTTTATTACAGAAATAAAAACGTCATCTGACTTAAGTCATGTTGACTTAAAAGATAAAATTGAAGATAATAAAATTACATTATTTTCAAATAATTGTGAATCAGAATCTACACTTACAAATTCTAATGAGCCTGATGAAGAATATGACATTGAATTTTTGGAAATTAGCAATAATGATTCTGCCAGTTCTTCGAGCAGTTTTGAAAACATAAAAGAATTATCAGATACAATATTAAAAGCAGTTGATTTACAAACGAAAGCCATCACACAAGCAATTAATAATCAAACTCGAATGATAGAAAGATTAATAGCATTAGAAAAAGAAAAATTTGAATTAATTATAGAATCTGAGAGAGAAAGTAGAAAAGAATTAGGAGTTAAATTAGATAAATTATTATCAATTAATAATGTAAATACAATTTCTTACAATACATGAGCACACTTATTGACATTAGACAATTAATGAGTAATTAAATGTTATAAATTGAGAATTTGAGCGAGAAAAGCTTTAATTTATTTTAAATCGTTATTCTTTCAAACCTTTCATAGTTAAATGTGTATAAATATACTTTAAACATTCTTACTCAAACATGAAATACTTTTTTTTCCAATGTTAAAAACAGGAAAATAATTTGTTTGTACATGTTTAAAAAATTACAAAATTTTATTATAAAAAAAAAAAATTCATTTCTGTCATTTCTTTGTGTCTAATTCTATTAAAAAAAAGTTTGTTTTAAATAAGATGACGACTCAATTATTTTTTTATCCCTCCTAAAAAAGAACGCATTTTATTGGTACCTGGAAATCCGAAATTCATGAACACGCAATACAGGTATATAAATAACTGCATACGCAGTACCTGACTAGCTAATGTATATACACGTATACATATATGTTTTTTTAAATGTGATATACTTGATATTTTATTTAAATATAATAGTTAGTATATTTTAATTAATTACTAACCGTTAAATATTTATATAAAGTTTAATTAATTAAATAAATAACTCGTAACCTCGAAATTAAAAAACACACAAAATTTAACAGCGCTTGCGTTTTAAAAATGGCGACCGCCAGTATCAATATAAAAATGTCAGTTAAATAAAGAATCGTATTAAAAACGTAGTAGCTGATAAATACGTGTTTTCATTATTATTATTATTAATTTTTTTTCACTAATAGCGTAAGTAAAATTTGTTTTTTTTTTTTTGAAGTAAAATGGGAAATTTATTCGGTACGAGATCAATGGAGGAAACATTTAGAAAAAATCAAGAATTCATATCGGAAATGAATAAGATAAAAACGGAAAGATACATACACATGCATAATTTATGGAGAGAAAGGGAAGCTGCTATGAAAATAGCTAAAGATCGAGAACTCGTTCTATGGCTTGGAGCATTTTATTTAGTTTCCGTTCCGACATTGTACATGACGTGGAAAAAAACGCATAATTCAAAAATTCTCGCGCCCATCATACCCTTTACATTTATACTCGCTTACGAAATCGACAAAGGCTATGGAAATAAATTGGACAGGATACGACAAGAAGCGGAAATGATAATGCAATTCGAACCGGAAATGTTAGAATTACCTTGCGGTTTGCCAACTCCTTGGAGCATAGATGAAGCGAGATTAGAAGCAGACGAAAAAAAAAAATTACATCCAGCCATTCCATTATTGTAATTTTTGTTTACACAACAAAAAACCAACCAACTGTCATTGAGAAATGAAAACTTCTTCTTGTTTTTTGAAAGAAGACTAATCTGAAAACAACAAAAAAACAAATTATTATTATTATTATTATAGATAAAAGTTCATTCACCTTAACCAAAGATATTTAATACTGCCTTTATAAATAATTTTAATATTAGCACTTTTAAGGCCATTTTTAATACTTGCCATTTTTTTTTTTTTTTTTTTTAAACATTAATTATGAACAAATATTATTATGTATATACATGATTTAAAATTATTTACAACAAACAAACAAACAAACAAACAAACAAGAAAAAAATATTTTAAAGTATTTAACTATTTACTATTATTATTATTATTAATCTATATACTTTTGTAATTTAAATTTTAAATCAATTGTAAATTTTATTTTATTTAAAAAAATTTTTTTATTAAAGTATTTATATATATAAAGTTATTATTATTATTATTATTATTATTATTAATCGTCTGTTTGTTTATTTATTCGATGGTTAATTTAAATTTAAACATTTTTTTTTAAATATAATCTACTACTACTAGTACAACTTATCGAAAGTGATCGTCACGGTTATGGCAAAAAAAAAAAGTTATTATTATTATTATTATTATTATTACATCACATTAAAAATATATTTGCAAGCCAATAATGATAATAATAATAAGTATTTACTTGCCAAATTCGTTTCGTTTCTGTTTTTATACATGTTTATAATAATAATTATTATTATTATTATATGTAGAAAGTTGTTTTTGATATTAAATAAAAAAATTAAATTAAATTTAAATTGCCTGATGTAATAAAACATTGATAAAAAAAATAATAATAATAATAATAAATTTTATTTATTTATTTATTAATAATTTTAAATTTATTTTTAATTAGTTTTTTTTTTTTTTTTTTTTTTTTATGAGGGCACAATATATTGATTCCATTTTTTAAATTAATATTAATTGTTATTAATAATAAAATTAAATAAATAATAAAATTAATTATAAAAAAAAATGTTAAAATACATAATTATTATTATTATTATTTAAATTAAATAATCCTAGAGTTAGTCATATAATATAATACTTATTTAAAAGCAAAGCAATATTTTTATTTAATCGATTATGTATATATATATATATTATTTATTTATTTATTTATAATAATAAAAAAAAAATTATCAAAAAATTTAAAAAAAAACGTTTTTTCGATTAATTATAAATAATACTGGCCGTCATTTAACAATAAAAACAAAAAAAAAACTTTCACTTATTAAATTATTAATAATTGTAAATACTTTTAATATTATTAATAATATATATAAATTCGAGACAAATAATAAATAAATAATAATGTTGACCCGTACGTGGCCTGAATAATAATAATATTAATAATATATGTAAAAAATAATAATAATACTATTATTGATATTACAATAAATATTTATTTCTTCTTAAAACTATATATAAATCCGCATTATTATTATTATTATTATTATTATTATTATTATTATTATTATTTTGTGATTAATAATACTCGTCGTACAAAATGATAATAATATTAATAATAAACGTTGTTAATTTTATGTTAATTATTTAATAAAATATGTGATTATGTTAATGAAGGGGTTAATACGTAAAAGTTATTAAAGCGTTAAAAAGGTTAAATAAGCAAATAATAATAATAATAATAATAATTTATCCGTTGTTTTTCTTCGTGGGTCGTTTTTTTTTTTTCATTTAATGATCCCGAGCTCCGAAAGGTTTACGAAAAATTTTCCCGAGTTTTTTCCGAGGTGTCACAGGAACCGTGTTCTGTAAATATAAAATTTTTTTTTTTTTTTACTTACTTACTTATTTACTTCATTCTGTAATACAAGAAATACATAAAAAAATGATAATGATGATAATAATACATAATAATGAAAAAAAAAAAGTACATACTTTGAATATTTAATTAAATCAAAAAAATTGTCAAATAATAATAATAATAATTTAATTATTTATTTATTTATTTAAATTTGTTTTTTTTTTTTTTAGTAAGTAAAAATTAAATTTAAATTTAAATTAACCCAAATTTAAATTTAATTACGGTAATAATTGAAATCTACCATTCATAACTTGATAATAAATTAAATTTAGTCACTAAAGTTTGTTTTTTTTTTTTAATAAAATATTACATTTAATTCATTATTATTATTATTAACATAAAAAATATATTAAAATAAAATAATTAATAAAATTAATTTTCGATTTCAATTTCTTATCATTCTTATCATAAATTTTTTTTTTTTATTCTTATCCTATTATTATTATTATTTTTATGAATCAAATGGAAGCTTAAAATAAAATAAAAATTATTAACCGTATTCTTAACTTATGAGAGAGAAAAAAAAAAAAAAAACAATTTAAAAAATATTTGTTTAAAATCAATCAATTTTTTTTATAAAAATTGCATATCCATAAAAAAAAAAAAATTTATTACAAAAACATTGTATATAAATATAATAAAATAATAATAATAATAATAATAATAATAATAATAATAATATTTAAAAAAAAAAAAATTACATTTGTAAAATAAACACTAGTTGATTTAAATATACATATGACCCCAATGCAAATAATAGAAAAATAATAGAAAAAAAAATAATGTATTTTTTCCAACGTCTCACCTCATCTCTTCCTCCTCCTCCTCCTCCTCCTCCTAAGCTATCTTTTTTTATATTTTTCGTTGGTAAAAATGTTTTCAATCTACTCGGAGTGTTTTTATTCTTTTCGTTTTGATCGCTTATTTCTCTTAATGCACTCCTCGGCGTTATTCGAAAATCCACACCCTGTAATTAATAATAATAATAATTTGAATGCATGTTAACTCTTCATTTTTGATTTTGCGTAAAGTGAATGCGTACCTGAATTGAAAAACGTCTTCCGTGTTTGCTAGGAGTCGGTGGCCCAGGTTTTTTGTATGACGTCTAAGAAAAAAAAATTTTTTTTAAATGTTTAAATTTAAATTTCAAAAAGAAAATTGAAAATGATTCAAAAATTAGTATAAGGTACAAGACCTTGTTTAGGTTTTAGGTTTTTATAACCGAATGTAACCCCTATTTTAGTACAAAAAAAAAAATAAAAATGAACCTGTTCTTTCTTTTTCCCTTTATTTTCCGGTAATAAACTCCGAGTCATGCTATGATCGCTATCCGTTAAACTTTGATTTTCTTGTCCGAATTGCAAAAGGCCATGTTTGATATCATTTTCGTTGAATAGAGACGGTTTGAGAAATTGCGTTTCCGCCGGGTACGACGATTTTAAATGTGGTAAACACAGGGTATTCCTATTCTGCAATTCCAACAAACGTCCCTCGGGATTTTCCGTCGGATATAAACCTTTTTTCATATCTTCTAAAAATCGATTATCAAACACTTCGTCTTCATCTTCGGTCGGCATCGTTGGAACTATTAACGAATTAACGATTTTATCAATATTATTATTATTATTATTACGTTTAAAATTCCCTTTTTTTTTTTTTTTTTTTTTTGAGATTCTAATGAGCATTCGTCATCATTTATAATTAAACAGGAAATGTAAAAATGTAAAATACCTTTTTGAATGACACAAGGGTTCCCAACCTTTTTTTTTTAGTGTGAATTTTAGCCAAAGATTTAGACATTGGGTCATGAACCGCGCCCCTAACGTAAGAAAATGTTTTTCAAGAAAAAATATACAGAAATATTTGAATAATATATAAATACTATTTACTTGTAACTTAAGTCATGATTTAGTTTGAAAAAAAAAAAAAAAAGAGCTTCGAAATGAATTTTCCAGATTGGGAACCACCAAATTAAGACAAATAATTTAATTAATAGTGTTTTACAACACTCAAATTGATAAAAAGTACTCACAAGTTGAATTTGGAAACTGTCGAAAATTAGACATTTTTTCCTGTTCCAAATCTTCATTTTGAGAAATCATTTCTTCATTCTGAAAACAAAGCCCCACGTGTCATTCAAACAACATAATACTAAGATACGAAAAAAATTTATTCGCGTTAAAAAAAAAGGTCCATAATATTTACCAATTCTTTATTTTTACTAAAAATGGAATTTTCGTATTTTTTCTTCAATTCGCTGTACATTCTTTCCAAATCTCTCTTCTGCTTTTGTTCCTGTAATAATTTTTCTCTCAAATCCCATAATTGATTTCTCAACTGATCTATATATTCCTTATGCCTTTTATTTTGTTCCTTGAGATCTGAACATAATTTACTTTCGCCTGCTTTATATTTTGATAATTGTTCACTGTGTAATCGTTTCTGAAATTATTATTATTATTATTATTAAGTTAAAGTATGGTTCAATTTAAAAATGCAAAAGAAAAAATTATAAAACTTGCCATGTCGCATTTAAGTTGTTCTAGTCGCGTTTCGTAAGTGGCCGAAATATTCTGAGCGATTTCATTTTGACTTTTCCTATAATTTTCCTGTAGCTTTTTCCTTTCCTTTTCCGATTCCGATAATGATGATCTCAGCCGTTCTGATTCATTCGATAGTTCGATAATTTCTTTTCGCATTCGAGAAAACATTTTTTCCCATTCTAACTGTTTATTTCCTTCGCATTCGATGGCATTGTTTTTGAATATTTCCTTAAGCGGATCTTCGCGCCTGTCCACGAGTTTAAAAATTTTCCGGGTTGAATTATTTGGTAATTTTAAATTATTCAACGAAAATTCCGACGAACAACTTTTTTTCACATCCGTCGATCGGTTATCAAGTCGTTCTTTCATACACGAACCCGATAAATTAGTAAAACTGAAAAAAGTAGTCGCTCCACTACTCGATTTCGAATCGATTTTAGATGGTGGTAAATAACTCATTTCCATTATGGATGATAAAGATGAAGATTTTGTTAAATTGGAACAACTGTCAACTGTCGTTAAATCGTTGGTAGACGATGAAACGTTTCGTTTTTCTTGATGTCTTTTAGGAGAGTTGAGAGAAATTTCCCAACTTTCACCTTTTCGCCCTTTATTTTTATTATTTTTCAATTTTTTTTGCGAGTTGTTGTTGTTGTTGTTTGATGGAGGAGATACGGACCACGATTGAACTGTACCTAATCTAATTTCTGCATTACGTCTGTCAACTGAAAAAGTTTTATCACCGATACCTTTTTCCTCCAGGTTCACAATATCAAATGTTTTATTATTTGTTATAACTTCTTCTAACGAATCGTTAAGTTCTTCTTTACATTGAAAATTAGATTTTTCGTCATTTACGACTATTAAATCATTACGAATTTTTGTGGCATCGTAAACGTTTGTTTTTTGTATATTTTCTTCTTTGCAGAGCAAATTTTCTTTTTCGGTTTTTATTATAGTTTTTTGATTTACCGTGACATCACCATCATTTAACAATTTTATTTTTCCAGCTTTCAAATTTTTAATCACTTCTTCAAGTTCGGTAATTTTAGATTGTTTTTCATCAAGTTCATCGTTCAATTTTTTAATTTCAAAAGAATGAGTATTTTGTATTTCAAATATTTTCTGCCCATTTGCTTTAAGATTATTTTCTAGCTCGATTTTTTCTTGTAAAGATGTTTTTTGATTTTCTTCAAGATCCTTAATTTTTAATTTAAGAGTGATAATACTGTCATTTAATGACATGCAAGATTTTTGTATCGACGATTTCGATTCGGACCAATCAAACTCGTAGTTTTTCATCACATTTAAAGACTCTTTAAATTCTTGTATCTTTTGCGAAATATTATCGGAACATTGATTGATTTGTAAATCATTTGCATTTTTAGTTATGACTAAACCATTACCTAATTTTTCTTTGAGAGATTTATTTTTTTCATTAAAAATATTCTCGGCATTGTCAAAAGAATTTTGAAAATGATTCTTTTTTTCAGACATTAAATTAACGATGTTGTTAACTTCAAATTCTAATCTTTCCTGTACCGTTTTAAAATCATCTGCAAGTTTTAAATAATCAAAATAAATAAGCATTTTTGTATTTTTAAAGTTTAGCAAAGCCTGGTCTTGTTCGAGTGCTTTATTACTTAAACTATTGTTCCTTTCATTCAATTGACAATTCTCTTGCACCAACTTATTTACTTCAAGGCCTGATAAAAATAATTCTTCTTTTACTTTTAAAAGTTCTTTTTCAGTTTTCACAAAATCATCTAATTTATTCTCAAGTTCTCTATTGAAATTTTGAAGTTGTAATAATTTTGAATTTTTATCAGATAATTCATTATTTTTTTTTTCTAATTCCGATAATAGTTCGTCTTTTTTACTACGCAATTCGTCAATTGTTTCTTTTAAAGATGTATTTTCTTCAATCTTTTCGTGTAAAATTTTTTCAATGACTACTCCCATATTTTCTGGTGAACAAATGCTATTTTCAAATGAACCATCTGCAAAACTCAAGTCGATTGTTTTATCAGATTTAAATGCATTTTCCAAATTTTCTTTTAATTCTAGAAGATCCTTTTCTTTATTAGCTAATGTTTCTTGGAGTTGCAAATTCAGTAGAGAAACTTCTTTAACCTGCAATTCACTCGCTGCATATTTTTCCAAACAAACTTTCAGCTGTAATTTAATTTTTAAAAAAAATTATCATTTAAATTGAAAAAATACATTGTATTGAATACATAAATATGCATGTTTCATAATTTTCAACATGCCTATATTAAATGTTTTATTATAATAAGTAAATATTTTATAAATACCTCATATTCTAATTTAGATTTTTCTGAAAGAGAATTTGAAAGATCAGATTCCAAAGATGAGACAAAATTTTCCAATTGATTCATTTCGGATTTTAACTTTTTTTCCTCATCAAATTTTCTATCTATTTCGCTTTTTAATTTTAAAAAATCATTTTCATTTTTTCTCGATTCTTTTTCCCATTCATATTTTAAATGTTTTATTTCTTCAATTTTATCTTTCAATTTCATTTCTACAAGAAAAAAAGAAATTTTAAAAATTTAAAAATTTTATAAAAAAATAAAAGATAAATTAAATAAAAAATATTTTACCAAAATCGTTGCACTTTTGTACGCTGGCCATTAATTTTGCTTGCAATGAGGCCTTTTCTGATTCTTCTTCGACAAGCTGATCAGTTAATTGTTTTATACATTTAAAATGGTCTCCATCTCCACACATTGCAGAGTTTGGTTTTTTTAAATTATATTCTAAATTTCTTTTAGGTGTCTAAAAAGTTAGAATACATGCAATATACTTAAAATTTTAAATAAACAAAAATTAATAATAAATTTAATACAAACCTGGAAAAAACCTTGAAGAGGAGATTCAAAACTACTGTTTACGATATTACTTTTTACAGGGGTATTTATTGAATCTCCATTACACGAATTAGAATTTTGTACTTCTACAAAATCGTAAATTTGTTTTTTTACATTTTCAAATGACAATTGAAATACATCTTGGTGTTTTTCCAAACTAGTTAAAAATTCAGCAATCCTGCATTGTGTTGTATTATCTAATGAAACACACATGTTTTCCCTAATTTCATCTAATTCTGATTTCTTTGTGTAAGACACATAAACTAATAGACAAGTTGCAGCAATTAAAAAATCACAACTTGAAGACAGTGTAAAAGAGTCAGATACTAATAAATTTGGATATATTAGTTTTAAAAATTGGATTGGATTTTGACAGTCAAATTTAAATTTTCTAATTATATTAATTAGTATCGTATCATTTAATTGATCAATGTTGTTAATTGGCGACCCACATTTTAGGGAGTTTACCTAAAAATGAGTAATTAATATTTTAATTACCATTACCAGGAACTCTAGTCTTAACTTGTTTCAATATTAAAATTATAAATATTTTATTCAAATGATAAAATTATAATAAAATCATACCCAGGCTAAAATAGTGTTTTCCCAAATTTTACAATCCATTTTCATTATAATGCTTTAAAAATTAATTTCACAACAATAGAAAACTATTCTGACAGCAATAGCGTCCATATTTTACTGAAAATTCCGTTAAAAATATTTAACGGTTTTTAACAATGGAATAATTTGCCGCGCGTCTTTGCTGCTTCTTTCAATGTACTAGAATGTCGTTGGCGCGTAAACCAAAATGTATACTCAATATTATTTTCAATATTATTCTGAAAAGAAAAATTATCAAATAAATATATAAACTGTATTGAATTATGGCATTAAAAATATTTTCTGACTGAATTTCATATACTGAAAATTAATTTTCTCGAAGTTTTATTTAAACAAGAACGTTGTTATTTTTGAATGAAATTAGTACAATGTAATTTGCATTAAAACCTAATAAACGCCATATTTCCATATTTTTAAATTTGAAAAATATTAATTAAGTCATAAAAAAAAAAGATCGTTTCTCATCATATTGAATTTATTTATTTTATAACTAAATAGTTTTTTGATAAAAAAATTTTAACGTAATTTCTATTTCTTAACGATACGGATAAGATTATTAATATCAATAACGTTATTTGATAAGATATCGATAACGTTATTTAAATAATACTGATTAATTTATGCCTTCATTATTTATGAAAATTTTTAATATTACGAACTGTATTATTATTATTATTATTCAAAAATAATGAATTTTAAATTAGTAGAGCAATTAATTATGTAAATTTTTACATTATCATCATGATTTTTTTAAACAAAACACTGTCATTTTTTTAAAGGATAAAAATTAATATTCGACATAAAATTATCAATTTAATTTTAATAAAAAAATTTTTTTATATTTATCTGTTGTAACAAATCAAGTATAGTGATCTAATTTAAAAGAAATAAGATAATTAAAACAATTTTTTTTTTTTATAAAACTTACAATCAACAATAAATACAATTAAATATGTAGAATTACAACTTTTAGAAAAATATTTATTCTTTATTTAATTAATGTTGCACATAATTAATTTAAAAGAAAGTTAATTTTTTAAATCGTTTTACAAATTATTAACTTACAACAAAGATTTTTTTTCATTTCCGATAGAAAACATGCTGTTAAACCTTCGAAAAAAAAAAAAAAAAATTTTTATATTTAGTACCATAATTTGTAAACAACTTATTCCTAATAAAAACTAGTACAACCGATAAAAACTTTTTATTGTAAACAATATTTCATATTTATAAGAACCAGCTCATTTTTTAAATCGATAAAAAAAAAAAAAAAATTTAATAAAATAAAGTTCTCTCAAACCACATAATAATAAAAAAATCACAGTAAACGTACAAAAGAAAACTAATAATCATCATCATCATCATCAAATTCGAAATTTCAAAAGTTTAACATTAATTTTTTTTAAATATTTATAATAAACACGTGGTAACAAAATTTATAAAAAAATTTGATACGTCGAATTATTAATCGTGGAAAAAAAAAAAATTTTTTTTTTTTGTGAAATTATTACCAAATTATTTAGATAGATCGTGACGTCATTTATTTATTTAAATCACGATCCGAATTCTTCTGTTCCCTCCTCTATGGGTTTAAATTCGTATGATCCTCTTCCATCCATTTGTAAATAGTACTGTAATGAAATTAAATTTTAAATATTTGAATAGTAAAAGCATTTTTTTTTTTTTTATAAAAGTGTTCTTTCTTACGTTGTGATGCTTCCATAAACTTCTACGATGGGAAACTGTAAATAAAGTAATTCCAGCTTCCCTGCAGTATTGGTACATTGATCCTTCAACATCAACACTGACTGCAGATGTGCATTCGTCAAGAATTGCAAACTGTGGGTTGTGGTAGAACAATCTAGCCATCTAAACAATATTAAGAATGGTATCAATTCATTATAATTTAGAATTTAAATTACTTTTTCATTTCAAGTAATTGTATCATTACGTTAGCACAAGATGTAAATTAGCATAGATAATAAAAAAAAGTTACTTACAGCTATTCTTTGTTTTTCGCCACCAGATAATACATCAATCCAATCTTCTATGGCGTCCCAACCGCCTGGTCTTTGTAGTAAATATCCCAATTGCACACGTTCCAAATGCTTACTTAAATCATCATCAGATTTACCACGTCGCAACATTTCTTCACGAGTTTGTGGATATGTTATTTGATCTCTTAGAGTACCTGAAAATTCCTTTTCTTTTAAAATGTACAAATAAATTAATTACAATTAAATGCAGACAATCATTTTCTACCTAATGTCATGTATGGTCTCTGCGGAATGTAAAATAATTTTCCTCTTGGAGGTTTTGTAACAGTGCCACCAAACAATGGCCACAGCTCACCCAAAATTCTAAACAAAGAACTTTTACCACATCCATTCGGCCCACAAACTAACACGTTCATTCCAGATTTCACTTCGAATGTTAATTCATTTATTAAAACATCTCCATTGGGGGTCACTAAAGGTACCTTATGGAAACGTATAATGTTATCTTGAAAAACTACTTTCCCCGTTCCAGGAACCAAGGGCATTGTTGATTTTTCAATCAATGATTCTTCTACAATATACCACATCAATATATAATGTTAAAGCTTTAACAACAAATGAACTAACTATCATGGGTCAAATTAATTAAATTTTTTCGACTAGAGAAAAAATTTCATAATTTACCTTTTTCCAAAACTTTTTGATCAATCATTGTTCTGACATAATGTCCATTATTTAAATCTTTAAGAACTTTAATGAGTTCAGTTACTCGAGCTGTAAAACCAGCTAATCTTGTCATTTCTCTACCTGCCAATACAATACGACCAATTGCTTCGGCTAATTTAACTAACATTCTACCATAGGTATAATAATAATTAAATCTTACATCCGTTTTACGATTACTTAAAAGCTTGTGAGTTTTACTAAAAAATGGAATGCTGACAGCATAAAATCCTACAACTGTTGCAATATCTAAAATTATAAAAATAAAAAAAAATTCATTTAACAAACACAAGTTACACTTTCATTCCTGAATATATTTTCTTTATAAATTTAAATTTTGTTACTCACATTTGGCAATGATATTATCCACCACTCCAATAAGTACTTTAAATTCTAAAAATCGTCTCAGGTGGTTGGTTAACTTATTAAAAGCAGCAAGAATAGTTAATTTTTCTCTTTGAAAAAAAAAAAAAAACATTTGTGATTAAAATATGTATACATTTTTATGAGTTTTAATTTTTAAATGATAAGACAATTACCTGTTGTTCCCCTGATAAAAAGCTATTTCTTCTGAATTTGTTATAAGTCTAGAATTAATGTACCTAAATTCCCCTTCTAATTTTTGTTCAATAACGGTTAATCGCCCAGTGGGTCGTCTAAGGTAGGTTAACAATACTCCAGAAACCAATAAATACATCATCATTATTCCAGGAGTCTAAAATAAAACATAAATTTTCATTGCATTATATACAATAAATAATACTAATTTATTTTTTTCTATATTTTTCTATAAATACCTCTCCTCCTAAACCAGAAGTAAGACGATAAACATATATAAAGATATCAAGCATAGGTTTTGCAATATTTGAATATAAATCTGTGAACGTTTCACAAAACTTATCAACATCTACTGTTAGTAATTGGTCAGGGTTAGCGATTCTATTATCCAAATTGCTCATTTTGTAATAAGTGAAACCTCTGAAAAAAAATTTAATGTAATCTAAAAAACATGCAAAAAAAAAATGAAACTTGATAACATAAAACAATACAAATTGAAAAATTACTTACTTAAGGTATTCACCATACATATACTTTGTCAAATTAGTTCTCAATCTCAATTTAAGTTCTCCTATAGCATATTTTAAAACATTATTAACTACTGATATCTATAAAAAAGGAAAATTCAACAATTTGTAATAATAATAAGTAAATTTTTTTATTGAATTGATAAAATATGAAATAAAGATTTTACCAATGGCATTCCTGAGAAAAAAAAGAAAAGTCTTTTTTTAAATAAATCAGTATCCATATTAATAATAGCCGTTTCCACTAATGTTCCATTTTGAATCATCCAAATATCACAGGCAGACCTAGCAATTAAACTGAAAGCAACTAATATGAAAAATGCACTTTCTGCAGAAAAAAAACCAGGAATTGTTATTTTAAGCAATTGTCTCAATTGTCTGACAAAAGTCATATCAACATGAGCTTTAATTTTTTGAGTCGGTTTATCTCCTATCATATATTGTATATCCACTTGGGGTTTCCTGAAAATAAAAATTTTTTAAGCTTACATTTTATATATAATTTAAGGTATCATTGATAAAATTGAATTTTTGGTAGTTTTCAAGCATGGTTTCTGGTTTTTGTAATCAGGAATTTTTATTTATGACATTTATCAAAGCGGTAGGAAGAGTAAATAACACTTATCATGCTTTGAATTTATCCATAGGTTAATATAAACACGATGACATAAGGCCAAGGTTGAAAATAATAAAATATATTAAGATTTTAATGATAAAAATTGATGAATTTACTTGTATTTAATTTTATTATATAGAAAAAGATTGAAAGTATCTTGGTAAGAGATTAATAAGTGTCAATATTCTGTACTTTTTTTTATATTGTTATAAAAGTTTAACAAACCTGGTTCGTTTTTTAGATTTTTTCGTTTTTAAATACCATAATAAAACAGATAAAGCTGTCGCAGCAGAAATCACTGTTTTTTTAGAAACTAATTTACTGTAAACTGGAGCCATTTACTTTAAAAAAAAAATGTTTTAATAAAATAACAAAAAAATTATATTGATACCGAACACTAGTAAAACAATAGCCTTGACGAATAAGTAATTTCTGCTATGTAATTGAAAAGCAACGGATTGCCAACCTTAAAAAAAAATTTTCATTTTGCGAAGTGGATTTAAAAAAAAAAATTTTTCCACCATTTAAAAATTATAAATATTTATTTTTTTTAAAAAACTATAATTAAAAGTTTTCTAATGATCGTAAAAATTAATTTAAAAAATTTCATTTTGATTTTCAATAATCAATTATAACAAAAACAAAAAAAAATTTTTTTGTTATCGTTTTGAATATGAATTTAAAAATTGTTAAAATTTGGTTACCTACTTGATTTTTGAAACAGGGGGGAGGGAAAAAAAAAATAAGATGACTAAAATAAAGATAAATAATAATAAAATGACTAAGATAAGTAACGAAAAAATAAAAGCTCCTTTTGGATCAAACGAAAAAAGGTTTCGAGCTGTGGGATTTCATCCTGGTTTCGAAACACGACCTGGAACATTTAAATATCCTAATATTTCTCCAGGTTGTCACAACTGGACTAAGGCATATAAAATTAATTCTAAAATAACGAGGTATAAAAAAACAAAAATTTACTTAATTAAAAATATAATTAGCCCCATTTTCCCTCCCCCTACCCCGTAAGAAAAAATATGAACAACAATGTAAATAATTGGAAAACTCTTTCGACCTTAAATTTTTTTATTTCCGGAATTCGATGGAAAAAAAATTTCTGTTCCCACGATTTTACCGATAAAAAAAAAAATTATATCAAAAATTTAAATTTTCGTAATTAAATCTCATGACTCATTTTTCAAATTTTAAACTTAATTAAATAAAACTTTTTTTTTTTATGGTTTGATTGGCACGTACAGCAAATCAAAATCAAATATTTGTTTTTTTTTTTTAAAGTTGGAAAAGAGCTGTCGAAGTCGAAGAATTTTCTAGAAAATTAGCATATCACGGTGAACATATTCTTAAAAGAAAACTTTGGGAAAAATCAATTAACGGTCCAGGTTGGCAAGATGTCACAGAATTATTATCAGAAAAAACGATGACGTTTCCTAAATTTGAAGGATATACGCAAAACCGTAAAAAACAAGATGTCCCCGGTCCTGGTGGGTTTTAAATTAAATTATTTAAAAAAAAAAAATAAATTGTTTAAATAATTGAATATTTTAGGAACTTATGGAAAAAATCATGTCCCGTATACAGTAATGGAAGAGAAAACTCGAGGAAAAGGATTTTCATTTTCAATAATTCCACCGTTTGATAAAAATACGAGTCGTCTTAATAATTTATATACTGGACCATCCTATCAACTTCCTCCTAATTTATACACATTAAAAAGTTGCACAGAAGAACTTATATCAAAAAAAGTATCTAAACGTGGACCCTATGATTTATTCACGGGTTAAAGTTTTCTTTTATCGTCACGTGATTATGTTTCCGTTAAAAAAATAGAAAAATTTGAATATTTTCTCTTTGTTTGTAGGACCCAGATTCCCTAGGATTGTTGTTCAAAAACTACTTGATAAAACACAATTAACACCTCTTAGACTCGATTCACGCGATTTAAATCATCCTAAAAATTTATTTAAAGGTAAAGAGAAAACTTTAAGAAAAAAAAAAAAAAAAAAATCATTTGGCTAATTTATGGAGTAATTTTTTTTTTTTTTTTGCCACAAAGGAAAATTTTTAAAATGTGGAAGAGAATCTGCCATAACGAGTAGAATGTTTATGAATGATCCAATAGGATGTTTGAATACAGCATCTTATCCAGGTCCAGGTCACTATGATGTATCGTCAAATAAAAAAATTGTCACAGAATCATTTTATCCATTTAATTCTTCCGTTCGTGATGTGAGGACACATTTAAAGTAAGATAGACAAACCTTAAGGTATATAAGGTTTAATTAATATTAAACGTTTACCATTTGAGTACTTTTTTATAGATACTCGTGGTACAATTTGTGTGACACCAATAAAATAGTGTGGTAGCCACATTTAAGGAAGGCCACACATTTTGAATATTAATATTATTCATTAAAAAAAAAATTTAAATAATGATTTAAACAAATTGTTTATTGTTTTTTTGTCATGTTGTATGTTGCATGTTGATGATTGTTTTTGTTTTTTTTTGTTTGTTAAGGAAAGATTTAAGTCCTCCTCCTGGAAGTTACAATTTATATCAAAAGAGTAAAATATTAGGAGATGGTTTTAAAAGTAATTTTTTATCGAAAACCCCAAGGTATGATTTTAAAGTACCTAAATGGTCTTGGTTTGAATAAATGAATTCATTTGGAATTATATATACCTAACCGAACAATAATAATAATAATAATAATAACCATAATTATCTCATCAAGTATCATCATTTTAGTTTAATAATTTATTTTTTTAAAAAATGTATTTTTTATATATAATAAATATTATTTTAAATTTTATCAATTAATAAAAAAAAAGTGATTATTTATTTATTTATTTATTTTGTTTAAATCCTATTTTATAAAAAAAAAAAAAAATAAATTTAAAGACGTGACGTTTTTTTTTTTTTTTTTATAAAAAATTATTTAAAATGTAAATAAAATGGCGTCATTTGTACAAATCGGTAATTTTTATTCAAGATGCGTGTAACACACTCATTAAAATTTAAATAAATAATATTATTAAGACGGAGAAGAAATAATGATAATAATAATAATAAAAGGGAATAAACAACGAAATTAACAAAAAAAACACAAAAATTTACATTAAATAATTTTAAATTTAAGACATATTGATGACATTGGACATGATGTCTAGTGTGTGGACAAAAGAAAATATTTAAATATTTTATATTAATTTAAGTAAAATTTAATTAGTTTGTGTGTATGTGTGTGTGTGCGTGCGGGTGTATACGACCAATTACGTATTAAAAAAAAAAAAAAGAAAACGGTCGCTTTCTCTTTTATAGAAAATTTTTTGCTTAAGTCATTGCATTAAAAACTAATGCGTATTAAAAAAGAAGAAAATAATAATAATAATAATAAAATAGGTAAGATTTTTTTCTTTTTTTTCGTTTAAGAAGTAGAAGAAGGTACAAAGAAACATTTGGATGGTTAATGAATAAATAAAAAGCTCCAAGGTTGACTAGTTTATATAATTGACCATCAATTAGAAATCTTAAACAGTTTGCGATGAACCTGTGAAAAATAAAGAAGAGATACACAACACACGGTGAGTATCTTTTTTTATTTTTGTCTTTCTTTGTTAGCAACAAAAAATATTTCTTTTATTTTTACTCACTTTATTATTATTATTATTATTATTATTTTAAAACTGCATTTATTTAAATTAGTTTTGGGGTAAAAAAAATATTAAATTAATTTACTACAAATTGAAAAAAAAAAAAAAAAATTCATGGAGAAGTAATTTTTGAAGTTGGATGGTGTGTGTGTGTGAATTTTCATAAATATTTATTATTTATGAAAATTTTTAGTTGTTTTATATCATACGATATTAAATATGTAGTTAAAAAACCTTATTCAGTACCTGTTGAGTACCTATTTTTAGTACCTACTTTTTTATAAATTTAAAACTTGTGGTAAATTATTATTATAATGGCTGCCTAAAAGTGCTAAATTTTTTTTTATACCTATTTTGTTATATTTTTTAAATAAATAAATATTTTTTTCGTGTTTGTTTAAATAAAACTATACTATATTATATAGACTATATATAGTATATAATATTACAAAACTATAAATTATTTTTTTTTTATACTAAAATTATTGCCAGTTAGTTTATTTAATTTCTTCATTTTATTATAAAGTCTATGATTTTAAAAAAAATTAATAACAAATTTTAATTATTTTTTTTTAATAAATAAGTTTTTTAAAAAATAAAAAACAATATAAATAAATAAATAAATAAATAATGATTTGGGGGGTGGGGAGAAAGATGAGGGAGGGAGAATCAAAAAAAAAAAAAAAATTCAAATGAATTTTCTCAACCGTCCGCCATGATTATTAAAATTCGACGACGTAATTTTTTATTATTCGATTTTTTTTTTTTTTATATTTTTTTTCCCACGACTTTTCTCATAATCAAAACAAATAATAATAATAATAATAATAATAATAATAATAATAAATTAATTTGTTTTGTTTTTTATTATATATTTCGCCTCGTTTTATTTTATTTTTAAAAAAAAAAAAAAAAAAATATTTAATAAGAAATTTGAATTTTTTTATATTTTTTTTTTCCTATACAAAAAGTTATTTATTAATTTTTGAAATAAATAAAAATATTTGTTATGGATTTAATTAAAAAGGGGATGACCATCACCATCACCACCACCACTACCACCACCACCAATATTTGGGTTAAAATATTATCAATTTGAATTATTGTTTGTTGTTTGTTGTTGGCATATTCATAGAATTGAATTTTTTTTATAATTAATATTTACAATACATATACATATTGGATTTTATTTAAATGGAAAACATATAAGGAAATAATAATAATAATAATAATGTAAGAAATTAGTCGTAATTAAATAATAATAATAATAATAAAGTGAACAAGTTTAATATCGCAATTATTCAAGGCCTAACAAGAAATGAAAAAAAAAAAAAAAAATTTTCCAATAGTATGGCAATAGTATTGTCGGAATCATTTAAAACTTTTCATTTCTTATTATGTCATCAGTTAAACATTTTTAATCGTTAACGACAGTCGTTAATTTTTATTATTATTATTATTATTATTACTGTTATGTGAATTTATTTATTTATTTATTTATATTGTAAATATCATGCTATTATAAAATTTAATTATATAAATTTAAGGAAGAAAAAAATAAGGTATATAAGGAGCCGTTGTAAAAGTGATTGATGATGATAATAATAAAATGATTTGTTTTTTGATTTTTTTCTAGGCGTTTTTTAATTATTTTAATATGGATGCTAATATATTAGCGTCGTTATTATTGACGCTAACAACATTTGTAACATTTTCAAAGGGGGCCGGTGAAATAAATAGGATTCCTGCTAGGCCATGTTTTCAACACGCACAACCCGGAGATACAATATATAAATATAATTTAACGGATATTTACGGAACGGATAATATAAGTTTATCCGAATTCGAAGGTTTTTATATTTTATTTTATTTTATTTTATATTTTAAAAAAAATTTTCTTTTAAAAATGTGTCACGTGACGTGAAAAACTAAATCACATTACTTATTGATTTACAGGTAAAAATCATATTTTTCTTATCATTATTAGAAATCTCATCATCGATAGATCGATCCATCGAACCATGAATCGACCGATCGATTTGAAAGGGTCAAAGTCTATTTAAAAGTTTTTTTTTTTTTTTTAATCAGAAAATATGACACTTAAATGGCCAAAAAGTACAAATTGATAAAAAGCAATTTTTTACGACCTTGATTATGTTTTTAACGTTATGAAACTAATAATAATAATGATATTAATAAACAATAAAATTAATTGTTGCGATTAATTAATTAATTATTATTTTTTATAATCAGGTAAGGTTGTACTCGTTGTTAATGTGGCAACCTACTGAAGTTTCACCAAACACTACTTGGGTCTTAATGCACTTAATCATTCTTATAGAGACTTAGTAGTGCTCGGTATACCAAGCAATCAATTTGGAAAGGTTTGTATTTTGAAATGAAATGCCTAACGGTCATGGTCCGATTAATATTGTTGAAATTTTTCCAGCAAGAACCTGGTGGGAATGCCACAGAAATATTAAACGGAATCAGATTTGTACGTCCTGGAAATGATTTTATACCAAGTTTTCAGTTATGTCAAAAATCTGATATCAATGGTAAAAATGAGCTTCCCATGTTTACATATCTAAAGGTAGTAGCGATGACAAAAAAAAAAAAAAAAAAAAAAGAAAAATGTCGAGTGTTTTGAATACGTATGTAACACCTCCATTTTTTTTTTTTTTTTAGGCCTATTGTCCGACGACAAGAGACGGTTTTGAAGATACAACGGTATTATTTTGGAAGCCATTAAAAAACAACGATGTTAAATGGAATTGGGAAAAATTTTTAATAACAAGAAAGGGAATGCCATATATGAGATACGATCCGAGCACAGAACCGGATGCAATACGTCCGGATATTGAATTTCTTTTACAAAATGATATTTAAAAAAAAAAAACATAAAATTTCAAAATTTCAAAATCAATAATCAGTTATCGATAATAAGTAAAATTAATTTTAACCGATGATTTTCAACACAATTTTTTTCTTTTTTACAAAATCAATCAATCGATCAATCAATCACTTACTGTTCCGTACAGCACACATTTAATCATTATTCGTAAAACTCAATTAATAATTTCAATTTATGAAAATGCAGTTAAAAACCTTTAAAATGGTGGACTGCAAATGATGAGATGTTGAAATTTATCAAAGATTTAGTGCATTGCTTTGATAAATTTACATCTGTTGAAATTATATGAAAGAGTTTTACAATAAATAATGATGATGATGATTATGTGCTAATAATAGTTTTTAACATAATAAATAAACCAAAAAGCAATTTTTTTTTTCTTTTTTTTTTTTTTTATATCTTGCAAACACTTTTAACATTATTTTACAATAATAATAATAATAATAATAATATTTTTTTGATTATATATAAATTGTGTTGACATTGGTCGAAAAATAATGTTTTTACTTTTAGAACGTGTATAATATAGATAAAGGCATTTTTTTTTTTTTTTTAAATAAAGTTTATATTAAAATCAAAAAAAATTTTGTTTTTACTTTTTTTTAAACAAAAAATATCAAATTTAAATTATATTAAAAAAAAAAAAAGACATAACTGGTGTATTGCTATTATTATTATTATTATTATTATTATTTAAATTTGATATTTATTTATATTTCTTTTGAGCAATTAATACCGATCAATCAAGCAAGACTTTTAATTTACGTATTTTAATTAATACAAATTTAAAAAAAAAAAAAAAAACAATAAAATAAAACAATTCTTTATTTTTTTTTTTTTTTAGGCAATATAATAAAATATATTAATAATAATAATAATAGTTTTTAAAAAAATGTGTGCAAATAAAGTGTCTTAAGGATTTCTTATTAAAAAAAAAAACAAAAAAAAATTTAAATTAATTTTTAATTAAAACCCTTACTTAAAAAAAAAAAAAATTTTTTTTTTGACATAAATTAGCAGCAGCAGCAGCAGCAGCTGCAGCAGAATTTTATTTTATTTTGTATTTACATAATATTTTCCCCCTCACTTCCTTATCATTATTATTACTATTATTTTTAATGCACTTGATTCAAAAAGGTGCACGAAAGAATTTTTTTTTTTATTAATCACAATATTTTAGGTATCGACAGTTAAATAACAACAAAATTTTATATCAATTATATTGTACACGTTCTTTTTAAAAAACAAATTTGTCTTCCCCCCCCCCCTACCCCTCCCCCGCTTACATTAAACAGAGTTTAAATTGAAAATTATGTAAACGACATGAAATGTTTAGGGCGATTCAATTTTATATATTCTTTGTATGTCATTTTTTTGGGTATTAAAGTTTTCAACGAGGACAAACATTGAGATTTATCGACCAGATTAGCTATGTCGTCATACTGCAAACCCGCTTCTGGACTCACCGAGTTCTTATACGCTCTCGATGAAAGTTCTTTTAAGAATTCTTTGGTTTTACGGGCTATCAAAGACGCCTAAAAAAAATTTTTTTTTTTACTCGTGATACCGTGTTGACGTACGTGAAAATTGGTTGGCGGTGGATATCGTGTATTAAAAAATCAAAATAAAAAATGAAGTAGAGAAAGAAAGAAAGAAAAATGAAAAAAAAAAAAAAAAAAACTTACGGCATCTCCTTCCAACGGTCGAAAATCGCTTCTACATTTACTATTTTTGAACCCAATTCGATGATATATCACACGTTTCACCATCATCCCCATCCGCATCCGCATCGTTTTGCGACTCTAAAAAGTTTTTCAATAATTTTTCATGTTCGTTTTTAGGTAATCTGAGTCTTCGTTCTGTTCTGCTAGACGATAAGTCGCAGGAAACCATAATACCGTTCACTAAAAAAAACCAAACCAAATAATTATGATGCAAGTCAATTAAAAAACAATCAAAAAAAAAAACAAAATGGCGACAACCTGTGTTAATCATTTCGCTTTCTCTGGTTATGTTTGCACTTTTTAATCCGTTTATATCCAAATCGGGGACTGGCCTATCACTCAAAGACAAAGAAGGTTTAGGTTTTTTTTTCGAAACGTTCGACGTATCCTTCGATTCGACTATTAAATTGTTGTTGGTCTTTTTCGTTTTTCCAAATACCGAAAAATCAAAATCCTCCGAATTGAAATTCAATTTGTTTTTCAATATGTAATTTTCTAATTGTTTCTTAGATCTGTGTCTTTTACCATCCGGACTGAAAGTAAAATGTGTAAAATGTAAAAAAAAAAAAAACAGTGTGCAAGGTAAGGTGCAAAAGGTAAAGAACCTCAAAATGTACCTGACGATGATAACTTCCATTCTCCCAGCGCTTTTCCCACACGATCGAATTTTAATACATCTTTTCCAACCGGGAGGCAATGTAGGATCTTTAAACTTGGGAGCATTGTTGGGGTCGAATTTTGAAGTGTCTACAAAGAAAAAATAACATAAAAATGGAGTAAATCAATATAAAACTCTAATTATAAATTTTTTAGATCTATCTTAGGATATAAAAGTTTAATGTAAAAATAAGAGTACCTGTTTCAGATAAAATAATATCTTCATTGCTGCTAGCTATCTCAGACAATGATTCTTCTTTGTCCGGATCAATTTTAATAATGGAATTGTCTGAAAAATAGAAACGGTTGAGTTTTTTATTTGTTTATCGAATTAACTTTTCAAAAGGTTACCATTTAATAACAGTGACGAATACAATTACATAACAATCAGTAATAAAAACTATTAAAAGGTGCCTGTAGGTATTTTAAATTTTAGATTAGTAATAAGAAATTTTCATACCTGTTTCTAACTGAACATTTTCCGACAACATTTTTTCTTCATTTTCAGGTACAGAAGGCACTGTATACGGTTTAGACCTTTTATATAAACCAAAATGAAATTGCTCAGGATTGAGTTTTGATTTAGTTTGTTCTAAATATCTTTTAAGTTTCCATTTAAATTGAAATTTTTTCCCATTGGGACTGTAACAAAAAATTAATTGTTTATTCAAAAATATAAAATTAATTAATATGCACACATATGAAATTTTTAATATAAAATTACCTGTGAATGTAAACAATTTTTTTTTCTTTTGGTGTACCTTCGTATCTTTTGAAAACAACTCTTTTCCAACCTGCTGGAAGATCAGGATCTTCCATTAAAACTTCTTTCTTGGTATTTAAATTCAAATTATTTATCGTGCTTTCTTGAAGAGTTGACGAATTTTTTATCGTTTCATTAGAATTAGTTTTTTTATTTAGTATGTTAACCTGTTTCACAATTTTCTTTTTTATGTACTGAGAATTCACATCAACATTTTTTTTAATTATTTTTGTAGCTACAATTTCATCATCCAAATTTATTTTTCTTTTTTCCCCTAATTGATAGTTTTTTATTTCACTCGAGCAACTTTTACTAAAAACTTTCTTAGTTTTCGGCTTTACTTGTAAATTTCTTTCAATATTACTACTATCACCATTTTTTGTACTAGTATTACCTTTTAACCTGATTATAGTAATACCTTTTGGAATTTTAATACTATTCCTTGAAGATATTTCATCTGAATTCATTTTTAATTGGGGTGGTTTGGAATTAAAACCTGAGTAACTTGTGGCTGGATGATTTGAATCCATGGCAAAGGTAGGTTTAGGTTGAAAAATACTTATATGTGGATTTTTTTTGTGATTTTTCCTATCTAATTCTACAATAAAGCTTAATTCATTGACAAATTCTCTTTTATCTCTTTCACATCCATCTAAATTTGATTTCGGTGTGGAATGAAAAAGTGAATGTTTGATATCCTTCCTAATGTAAGCAGGTTTATTTTCCGAAAGTATTATATTATCACCACACACTTTATTTCTACTTAAAAAAGTTCCTTTAGTTCCACTTTGAATATTTTGAGAATCTAACTTGTTTACAAAAGTACTCATACTTTTTCTACTAAGTATTTCATCATTTAAATTATATCTATCGAAAAACTTGGGTGAGGAAAAATGATGCTTTAATGCTTTCTTGTAGGTTACTTTAATCATTGTGCCAGAAACTGTCACATCATGATCAGCGGATAGTTTGCTGATTTGATTAAGTAAATAGCTGCTTTTGTTTACTGCTGAACTTAAAGAACTCCTAATTTGTGTTGTTGTACCAATTTTCTCATTAACCTTTTCTGACGATTTCATTATATATTCACCTCATTTTTTAAAAAACGATACCTACGTTCACAGCCATACCTGAAAATATAAAAATAGTACATTAATCTTCATAACGTCATTTAAATCATAATTTAATTTGCACACTGAAATTCGTAAACATGATTAAGTGACCTAACATAAACGTAATTGATGTAAGTATTTAACAATGTCAAAAAGAAACAAAAATTAAACCTTAATGTTTTTTGAAAAATCAAAAGCAATAAAGTTATGAGAGTAAATGTAATTACTCAGGTAAAATAATTTCGTTTTGTAAAACACATGGTATCAAACTGGAAAATACAAATGACATTAACTGATGCTTTAGCAAACAAAATTAATTTTAAAAGTTTATTGAAAGTGTTTGAAATTATGACAATGCCAAACAAATAAAATACTTAACATTAGACTTTAAATTAATGATTATTTTAACTCGTAATGCACTTACAATGAGAGTTTTTTCATTTTTATTATAAATTTTTATAACCGAAAACACCACTTCCATGCACATCTTCCGGAATTCACCAGTAACAAAGGACTTATTTGAGCACATTAATATTGCGCTCCAATCCTTAAACTAATTTACGCAAATTCAAAGGAATTTTTTTTTGTCCTTTGAGAGTGGCTTTAATAATAATGGCGGGCAAAACTTTAGAAGAAACTACTTTTAAATACGAAAATTTAACAGTGAAAAATTTTTTTCTAAAAGGTTTATTAAATTATCGTTCATCAGAATTATTCGTTTAAATATAAATATAAATTCTTTATATTAAGTATTCGACTGAATTAAGTAAGTAATTATAATTTTTCTTATCTAATTCTACTACGAAGCTTAATTAATGAATTGAAGTGTTATGATTTATGAAAAAAATTATAAGGATAAAAATTAAAAAATATTATAGACAGATACCCTGTGAGCTTTATTGATAAAAATTATAACATAAAATTGATTGATTGTAAATAACAATTTCAATTAAAATAAACTCATAAACTAAACAACTTTTTAAAAAAAAAAAAGAAAATTCAAATGCCTTTTTTTTACAATTACTTATTATTATTATTATTATTATGCAATAATTATTACCTAACTGCACAAATTTTATTTCCAAAAGATTTTAATAAATTTTTTTGATTGTTAACAACATAAATCATTTCAAGCTAAAATTATTATTTAATATATATAAAAAAATATATGAGCAAACAATGCATTTACAAAAAAACAATTAACAGAATTAATTTTGTATTTATACATAAAAAATAAGCAATATTGTTTAAAATAGTAATAATAATAATAATATTTTAGAGGGGTTAACAACATGAGAAAGCATTTAAAATGATTTTCCAAAAAAAAAAAAAAAAAAAATTCAAATATTACATATTTTTTTTTTATATTATTAAAGACACAAAATAATTTATAAATTTCATTTTATTTTACAAACAACACAGACATTTTTTTAAAAAAAAAAAAAAAAAATTAAATTATGTTAATAATATTATTTACTTATTAAATTTTACAAATTTTTTTTTTTTTGTTTATAAAAATACTATTGAATTTAACAATAAAAAAAAAATTTTCCAACAATTCCAAATTATTTTTATGAATTTTTTTTAAATAACAAAAAATAAATTCAATAATAATAATAATAATTATTAAAATTAAAAAAAAATAAATAAATAAAATTTAAATTTGTTTAACATTACAAAAAATTATCATGAAACAAAATAATAATAATAATAATAATAATTTTTAAAAATTTTTGCTTTGGTAAAAAGTCATAAAAAATTTTTTTTTACCAAAATCATCATCATCATCATCATCATCATTAGTAGTTAAAATTTAATAACTTTGACGGATTTTAAATAATTTTTATGTAAATAAATTATTAAAAACGAATTTCCATATAGTTTTAACATGATTAATAAAAATTTTTAATATAAAAAAAACAAAACGATAATAATGATCCTCAAACAAAAATACCTTCATTCAATTTTTTTAAAGAGATCAATATGATTAATTAATGTGATAATAATAATAATAATAATAATAATAATTTAATATAATATTATATCACAAATAATGTAGACTCATAATAATAACTGTAATAAAATTACAAAAATTTTTTAATTTTAGAATATTTTAATTAATATTGAAAAATAATAATAATAATAATAATTTTTGTAAGACACAACCTTTTTTTTTTTTTTAAATTTTTCAAAATCAAAGGCTAGCCTATGTATATATGTATGTATTGAGATAATGATAACATTTTATGTATTTTATTATTCATTTAATAAAAAATTTTCATTTTAAAAATTTCAATTATTTTATTTATTTATTTTTTTTTTGACAAAACAAAAAACACATTATTATTATTATTATTATTATTATTACAATTTTTTTAATTGAGGCCACCGATAATAATAATATTAATAATAATAATAAATTCGATTAGGTTAATTTTTTTCTTGCAATCAAAAAAAAAAAATTGAGATTCGAATTTAATAAACTGAGCAACCTGATTAATTAACCATGTAAACAAATAATAATAATAATAATAATAAAGTAATTGTTATTAGGCAATTTTTTTAAATTTAATAATAATAATAATAATAATAATAATTTTTTAATGGAATAAAACGGTAAAAAATAATTTTTTTTAAAATTTAAATTTAAGTAACTTTAAATTCATTTTGGTACTATAAAAAAATTATATTAAATGATCATCTTATATTATTTTAGTATCATTTGGATTCCATATGCACAACATATATAAATTTCAAGAAAAAAAATTCTAAAATGACCGTGTGTGGGTGTATTGCATTCACACACACTTTACAATTTTTGTTTTGCCAAAAAAAAAAAATTTTTTTAATAATAATTTCTTTAGCTTTATTTCTTGTACTATTACTACTACCACTACTACTACTACTACTACTACTACTACTACTACTACCACTACTACTACCGCTACTACTCAATAAATACTATTTTATATATATAATAAAAAACTATATAGATAAAGCCAAAATTAAAAATATTATTTTTTTATCCCAATTTTTTTTCCAATTCATTCATTCATTCTTCAATTATGCACTTGTGATTATTCTTTTAATATTATTATTATTATTAATTATACATTGAGGTAAATATTAATATTAAAAAAAAAAAAAAAAACAATAAATATATAAAGTGCATAATAATAACTCTTACACACACACACACATATAATAATAATGATTATATATTTATATAAAATAATATATTAAAACGTGAATTCTCGTATACTATAATAATATATATATATATATATATATATATATATATATATATATATATATCTTTTTATTAAAATTATTTACAAAATTTTATATTTACTTTTTTGTGTAACAAACAACAATAATAATAATAATTAATTACATACAACCATATATAATAAATAATGATAAAATTTAACATATATTAAATATATTATAAAGTGACTTTTTTTTCAATATATATTATATTAATAATAATAATAATAATTTTTATAAAATTTATTTTTTGGGTACCTTTGGCTTTGTTTTTATTTTTCCTTTTTTTTTAAATAAAATTTTAGAGAAGAGAAGAGAAGAGAAGGAGGAGGAGGAGGAGGAGAAAGAATAAGAAAAATAGATAAAAGAGATCATGGCGCCCGTTTGGCAAGATTTAATAAAAGCAAAAAATTTAAATAAACTTTTTAAGTAATTTTGTAAAAAAAGTGACCGATGATCAATATTATTATTATTCATCATCAACCGATCACACTTTTATTAATAATAATAATAATAATAATAATTGAAATGAAGTCGACGAAAACCTTTTTAATTAATTAATTAATTTAAAAAAAAAAAAAAAAAAAAACGAGTTTTGTACTTTGTTTCTACTACAGTCGGATATGTCTCAGATCATTAACAACATCCATTTTATATATAAAACGAAGAAAATTTCCACATAAAACCTGAGCACATACAACATTCCCTTACATCGACTTCAATTTGGGGAAAAAAATAATAATAATAATGATAATAAATTGGAAAACGGGCAGTTATTAAAACAGGAATTCAATTCAATGGTCCCGTAAAGTAAAACAGTCATCAACTCAAGACAAATCCCCCCCCCCTTTTTTTTTTTGGACAATGGTAATTTAAACCAAACTAATTACGATGCGATGATGATGATGATGATGATGATGATGATGATGATTTGTTGTCATTGACAGACTCCGAAGAAAAGTCATGATGCATTTTCAAATACTAAAAAAAAAAAAAAAAAAATTCAAAAATTTACAACGCAAACAAACAAACAAACAAACCGCGTTACGCTTACCCCCCACCCCCCACCCCCAACAAAAACAAACAATCAAACCTGTAAAGCCAGAGACAAAGGCGTTGCTTGGTGATAAAAATGTACGGTGCCAGGTTGATTGGGCAACCATTCCGGTTTCATTTCTACGAGTCCCAAAACGGGACACGGTTGTCCCGTAAGCAAAGTAAACAACGTATTGATCGTGTTTTTTTCTACGGTTTCCAAATGTTTGTGTTCCCTCGTTTCCAAATGTCCCTGATATTGTTCTTCCGTGTCGAAACTTAATTCGCACAACAAACAGTGATGTTGATTCCTTATGTCCTTATGCTTTTTCGTAAGGTGATTTATAAAACGCGTCTGAAATCATCATTATCATTACCATTACTCATTTATTTATTTATTTATTTATTATTATTATTATTATTATAGGTTATAAATTAATTATTTATACCTCAGTTCTAAATGCCAAATGACAACTTTGACAATGAAAAGGATGATCTTTTATATGAGTCATTCTTTCTCCTTCGTCGTTGAAACCGCAAACTTCGCAAATCCAATAACAACCCGTGAGACGATCGGCCGCGGATTTTTTATTCCCTTTTGATTTGGACTTATCCGGTTTTGTCTCCAAAGACTCCTCACCCGATTCCTCTTTTCCCCTTTTTAATTTTTCCCCATTGTTATGTAATATCTTATTTTTAATCGTCGAAAATTGACTAATTGAGTTACTACAGCCGTTAACGTTTGGTAATTCTTCCATATCACCACCACCACCACCACCGCTACCACCACCACCACCACCATCCCCTAATTTTTTTTCCCTTTGTTTTGCGGGGAGTTTCGAATTTTCTCTCCGGTCTTGTTTGTCTTTGACTTTATCGACGTTATCACTACTCTTGTTTCGGAAAATTTTATCACCGATTACGTTTTTCTCGCTTTTGAAACACTTGGAAAAATTATCAGTCTTTTTTTTATCCGGAAAATTATTCTGATGTACGAGAGGTTGTTTCTCGGATGGAGTGACGACTCTCCGTTCATCTCTCCGAACGGAAACGTTTTCCTCGCTGTTGCTTTTCGTTCTTTTACGCGGGGAAACGCTCGAATCGCCGCCCCCGCCGAATGAACCGTTCGGTGGTGGTGATGGCGATGATTTATGTTTCAACTTCTTTTTATCAACACCATTTTTATATCCGTTATGTAATTCTTTTGTTGTTTTTTGACACTCTAAAACCTGTTTTTCGAACGGGTCGCGATCCTTAAACATTTCACTTAGAACACGTTCCGCTTCTTCGTCCGCGAGCGTGGATTTCGTTTCTAAAACATTTTCAACAGTCTTGATAATAAATGAGTCTTTGGTTAATTGATTATTTGTTTTTTTTTTAACGTGAAGATTTCGAAATCTCATTTTTTTGCGTTTTTCCAAAAAATCCGGTTTAACACGTGAACCGGCGACGACATTTTCGTTATCATAATTTGACCTCTCTTTAACGTTCAAACCGTGACTTAAAATCGTTTCATTTTCGACGTCATCCCTCTTTTCTCCTTCGAGCAAATCATTTTTTTTTTGACACTCGTAAATTTCGTCATCCGTTTTCGAAAACTTTTCGTTCTCGAAAATTTTTAAATTTTCAAAATCGTTGGAAAATTTTTGCTTCTTAACCGCAGGTTCCAACTCCTTTTGCTCCTTCTCTTCGATACCTTCTGGCTTTTTTTTTGCCGAAGTGAAATCTTTTTCGAGGGGGGCGGCATCGTCTTGTCTTTTTCTTGTCCAAATTCGATTTCTCAAATCGTTTCGTTCTTTGATTTTATTCAATTCGCTTTTCGATATTCTAAAAAGTATGACTTTCGGTTGCCACGATGGCGACGCATAATCCGAATTATTTAAGAAAATTCCCTCTTGAAAATTTTCCGGTCTCGTATTTTCCTTGATTTCATTTTCATCGTCAACGCGAATTTTACATAAACTTTTTGAACGGGAATCATTTCTAGAATTTTCCCATCCCATTTTACAATTTGTACCTTTATCGTTTTTCTTCAAAAAAAAATTTTCAATTTTTTCCAATTTCAAATCGTTAACGTTTTTTTCGTGGGGACCATGATAAGACCTGATATTTTCCGTCAAACAATCGATAGTTTTCCTTCGTTTTTCCTTCATTTTCGAATTTAATTCGACGGATATTTTTCCGTCCGTCATCAAACTCCGCCTACGGTACTGTTTAAAATTTTTATTATTGTTTTCAGATAAAAACTTTATCGAATTTTTCCGGACTTTTTCGAAATTTTTTATTTTGAAGTTTTCACCATTCGAATTCGATTTTCCAAATTCTAAATTTTCATCGTTTTCCAAAAAAGGTATCAATTGAGTTTCCTCGGACTCGCATCGTTTCGACGGACTCGATGGTACTTCTTCTTCTAAATAAGGCCAATTTTCAACGGGTAAAATCTCTGAACAAATTACAGAATTTTCCGCGGATGTGAAAGAAGGAGGAAAATTCAATGGAATGTCTGACGATGATGACGATGATGACGGAGCGCTTTCTTTAAACTTTTCCGAAAGTTCTAAATTTTCATTTGTGACGTCATCGCAAGACGTTAAAAGAACATCTTTGGGTATGTGATTATTACGCAATTCTTCGGATTCGTTCGTCACCTCCTTGGGATCCAAATCCAAATCTAGGAGATCCTCGACGGAGCAGGAAAACAATTTCAAATTGCTCACGTTTAAAAATTTTTTAGCATTGTCGAAACAATTTTCCATCATGTTTCGAAATTTGTCGTCGTCTGAAAATTTTTCATTCTCGAATTCGTTGTCGTTTTGTAAATCTTCCGACGTCGGAATGTCTTCGCATTTGTAAAAATCCGATTCCAAAAAATTTTCACTTTCCGAATAATCCGGAATCCCTTCACCCAAATCCTCCGAACACATCGAATCGACAACGTCGACATTTTTACTTTTTCCCACGACGATTTTTCGAGAATTTTCGCATAATGAATCAACATGGCGTTGTTCTTGGTAATTAAGGTCGTTGATTTGTCGCAACTTTGAAAAAACGACGACATCTTTTTCGATTTTATTTTCAGGTGTTTTTTTTTCATTCGTCGATGATTCTTTATCAGATAAGACAAAATTTTCTTTTTTTTTAAATTCAATTTTTTCAACAGATAAAAAAACTTTATTCGAATTATCGATCAATTCATTATTATTATTATTATTATTATTATTATTATTATTATTATTATTATTAAGTTGCATTATTTGTTTTTTTTTTTCGACATTTTTATTAGAATATTGAGCACACGCAATTTCAGTGCAAATTTTTTCATTTCGATTGTTTTCGCATGAATGATTGTTTACATATTCAATTACATCCGACATCATTGACGATTCGAAACAAGTTTTCGTCGTCGCCATTTTCTCGAAAACTTCACCGCCGCCATTTTTAAAAACATTTTTTTCTTCTTCCTCCTGCGTTTCTTTTAATTTTTTAAATTCATTTTCAATCTCACATTCGTCATCGTGTTTTTTTTCCTCATCCGCGATCCCATTTTCTTCCCCGAGAGATGATAAAAAAAAATTTATATTATCGACTTCGAAATCGTCACGTGGGCGGCGACCATTTTTCCCATTCGGACATTTTTCCAATGTTTCGATATCCCGTGAATTTTTTCCCTTTTTAAAAACTGATTCACCGCTCCTCCTTTTATTTTCCTTCTTCATTTTATGGTTGGGCGACTTTTCGAAAGACGACAAGTCAGAACCCGAAACGTGTTTCTGTTGTTTTTGTTGTTTTTCAACAATCGTTTGAAAATCGATCGATCGATTTTCATAATTGTTTACGCAACGTTTTTTTTGACTTTTCATCAAATATTCACAAATATCGAAACAATTTTCCGGCGGTGGATCACCCAAGGGCAGTGGGATATCCTCCACGGGCACATCTAAAACGGGAAAGTTTTTTTCAATTTTTCCGGGAAAATGCAAGAGAGGAGGACAAGATTTAGATTTTTTAAAATTCGATTTTCCAAGACTCCGCACTGATTTTTCGACCGACTCAATTTCCTCGGAAAATCTTCTTTCAATCTTTCTCGACGTCTCGAACGAAAATTTATTATTATTGTTTAAATTTTCAACAGGAAGTGTTTGTAATTTTTTACATCCTACAGGATCTTCGTCCAATCTTCCATCGTCTTTTTTTTCTTCCTGGAAAATTTCTTCCAAGTTCGATTTTTTTTCCTTAAAATCGTTTTGCAATTCGTCGGGGGTAAATTTATCTTTTATCGCGGGAAATATTTTATTTTTTTCTGAATTATTCGAATTCGCCGTTTCGAAATTTTCCGAAATCGATGAAAATCCCATTTTTTTTTCCTTTTCTGAATTAATTTCGCAATTGACATCTTGTGATTTTTCGCAATTTTCCAAACTTTTATTTAAATTTTCTTCGCTGAGAACATTTTCCAGCTCGCAAACAACCGATTTTGTCGTCTTTTCCTTGTGGTCATTTTGATTTTCTTCGGATCCACCAGACTTTTCGAAAATATTAGAAATTTCATTTTTGTTCAGGAGAGGAGATTTTTCTAAGTCTCTCAAAGATCCAAAAGGGATTTCATTATTTTCAGCATCTCCCTCGCTTAATATGTGACTGAGTTCGGAAACGGTTCGATCGGAAAAATCCTGACACGTTTTCCGAGGAACAATATTATCATTATTCACCGGCGTAATCAACAACAAATCGTTTTTGTCTTTATTATTTTTTTTTTTAGGCGTTTCACTTTCCATCGAATTAAGCTTTTCCGGTCTCTGATATATTTTTTTCTTTTCACATTTTTTTTCAATTACGTCTTCTCGAAAAATCGATTCTAACGCTTTGCTTATTTCATCCGTGTTCGATTCGGAGTCGGACTCGGAACCGGAAGAATCCGCTGTTGTTGTTGTTGTTTTTCTTTCGATGTTTTCATTATCTATTAAATCTAAATTAAAATTTTCCTTTTCTTCACTCACGTTTGTTTTTTCGAATTCGTTTTCCGCGAGATTTTCCTCTAGATTTACGGATTTATCTATTGGATTGTCTTTGACGTCAACAACATTGTTATTCGTTTCGATTTTATTCGATTCGATTTCGAGATTTGAAGATTCTCGATTATTATTGAAAATGAAAACTTCGTCGATATCAGGTAAACATTTGTTTTTGTCGACACCGTCGGACGAAGAATTTTCTAGAAGATTCGCGACGAAATCGTTATTCGAATCGAAATTTTTATCACCTTTAAAATCGAAAACGTTACCGTTAAGGATTTTTAAATTCTTTGATTTTTCCCCTTCGGTAAAATCTGAACAAATTAAAAATTTCGATTTCGAATCGTTCGGGAACGTGTCATTAGAATCGAATTTTTCCTTATGATTTTCAACGTTATCACTTTCGTTCCGTTTGTCCGATTGTTTCGAATCGTTGTTGAGCAATAGAAAATCATCGACCGTTTTCGGTAATTGACAATCGATTACGCACTCGTCACCATTCAAACAATCAATATTATTATTATTATTATTAGTTTTTTGTTTTTCGTAAAAATCCTCAAAATTTTTATCATCGACCATTTCCTTTTCCCGATGATGATCATCCGGGGATCGAATGACGTTCAACGGGTCCTTTAATTCTAATTTGGATTCGTTTGGAAAATTTTGAAAATTTTCATTTTCTTCAACCGACGTTTCCACGTCACTGCTCCCCAAATATGAATCGTAGCATTTATTATTCGAGTGACTGTCCTCGTCACAATTAACAAACTCGTTGGCAATTAATTTAACGTCATCTTGATAATATCCTCCTCCTCCTCCATGGTTTTTTTTCCTTCTCGAATCTTCTTCGGATGTGATATTTGATGATTTATTAAAAACATGATCAAAAAGATTTTTATCCACGTTCTCGTCGTTTTTTTTTTCGCGGGATTGTTTTTCCACCATTTTCGAACGGGAAATCTTTTTGTAATATTTTTCTTCATCGTCATCGTCGTCGTCGTTGTCCTCTCGCGAATCGATGGGTGATAAAGGCAATATAAATTCCGAGACGGAATGAAATTCGGGAGACGTCATCATTTTTTTCCCATCCGAATTTGCATCATTTTTATCCGTGCCGTTGAAAAATTCCAATGGAAATGATTCGGGACTTTCGGGCGGAAAACGTGATTTTTCCAATTTCCCATAAGGATTTTCAACGACTGCGTTCAGAGTTTTTTGAATCGTGTCATCAGATTCGATACTCCCTGCAAAATCAATTTAATTGAAATGAAATCGTTTTCTAAAAAAACGGACATTGTGGGAGGAGGGGAGGGGAGGGGGTCACGCGGAAAAGTATAGATTTAATTATGAATTATAACATAAACTTTTTTTTTTTTAAAGATAGAGGAGAAAAATTAAATTTGAAAAGTTTAACGAATTGTCGCGTGACCTAAATTTAAACACACAAAAAAATACTCGCGACATTAAAAAATTCAAATAAAGAAAATTCTATTATTTAGACTTTCGCGGCATTCTACTCTACAATTTTTACTTAAATTTTTTGGGTTATTACAGTTTTGTTTTGATAGTGCAAGTGTTAAGTACACAGGCACGCAAGACTCCACTGAGGATGCCGATAGCTGTTCAAATCGGCGAAACGTTTGGAAAAATGGGTGAGTTCGCTCCATTTTCTAAAAATTTGACGCGGTGTAATAACCCAAAAAATTTAAGTAAAAAAGAAAATTCGTTTTTTTTTTTTTTTTGCAAGTGATGCATGTACACGTGAGACGCTGCGGGGGGAGGGAGGGAGGAAGGGGGAAAGGGTAAGAAAAAATTTCGATTCGAAATTAAAAATTCTTAAAAGTCAAAACGGTTTACATTTTATTTTATTTTATTAATTAATTAATTTTTTTTTTTGGCATGTGGACTTTAAAAAAAAAAAAAAATACCTGACGAAATCAAATATTTATACTCTTATAGGCAAAACGTGAAAGTTAATAATTCGGGTCATAAAAAAAAAAAAAAACCTCAGCCTATTTCGTTCTCCTCACGTCGTTATAATAAAAAAATAAAAATCGATAAAAAAAACTGACCAAACCTCATACATAATTAATAAGACATCATTTAAACGGAATGAAAAGTTACATTTCTTTATTATTATTATTATTATTATCATTATCATTACAATTTTAATTTGTTTAAATATATAATAATTTATATTCTTACCTGATTCAACGTCGCGAACGGCGTGGGGGTCACTTCTTTTAAAATTTTCCCAACGCGATCCATCAATTCCTTCTTGGGGTTTTTCCTCCTCCTCCTCTTCCTTGGTTTTCCCCGAAACGTCTTCATCGTCTTGGGGTAATAATTTGAAATTTAATTCTCTTTCGAAATTTTTCTTTTGTCTTTTAAATTTTAATTTGATTTCCGCGGAATTCGCGGATTCTTGTTGTTGTACTTGGAAATCGTTGTTGTTCGACGACAGGAAATTTTTCTTCAATTTTGTATAAATCAAACCGTTCTCGTCATTTTCACGATCTAGAATTTTCTTTTCATTTTTTTCCACGTTGCAATCGTAATAATCATAATCGTAATCGTAACTATCATCATCCTCATCTTCATCGTCATCATCGTCATCGTCCTCGTCGTCATCATCATCATCTTCTTCGTCGTCATCGTAGCCATTGTAATCGTCGTCGTCGTCGTCGTCTTCGTCGTTTTCATCATCATCATCATCATCATCATTTTTAACAACTCTTAAATATTTACTACTTTTTTTTTCTATTTTAATTTTTCTCGTTTCCGTCGATACGTAATCTCGTAATTTTTTTTTCTTTTTGAATTTTTTCCGGTTTTTTTTCTTCTCCGGACTTCTCGCATCGCAATTCCAATCCCCTTTTTCTATACTTTTTAATTTCAACGTTATCAATTCTCTCGTTTTTTCCGCGTCTTCCATCATCGTACCACATCCGTTGTTTTTCAAATTGTCCTTTTCGTTGTCTCCCGCCGGAAATTTGTCGCATTTCCCTCCGCTACTCCCATTGTTTCCGTTTAAAACTTTAAATGAAATTTTCAAATCGTGTGATTTTTGAATGGAAAATTTAATCGTAGGCTTTGACACGGAAATATTTTCTACCGTGAGTTTATCGGTTCGTTTACCATCTTTTTGCCTTTGTTCTAATTTTTTTTTTCTTTTAATTTTCTTATCCGATGACGACGACGACGACGATTTTAATTTCTTAATTTTTTCAACGTCAAAATTTTTATATTTTTTTTTACCCACGTCAGATGATTCAACTTTAACATCTGAACTTGTGAAATTTATTTTTGTAATTTTTCGCAAAATGTCGTCAATTTCATAATTTTGTAAACTCGTTTTTTTTTCTACTTCTTCTTCTTCTCCTCCTCCTACTCTTCCTCTTCCTTCTTCTTCTTGTTGTTCTTTTTTAATAACGTTATGAGTTTCATATTCACTTTTTCTCGGTTGAAATTCTTCTTCGACCTCACCTAACTCACCATTGGGACACTTATCTAATAACGCCTCCTCATTTTTTATAAAATATTTTTCTTGTTGTTGTTGTTGTTGTTGTGGGACCTCATCATCATCATCATCATCATTGTTATTTTCTTTTTCCAATTCTACGACTTTTGACTCCCTTAAACTGTTACGTAATACCAAACCGGAATAATTAGTGACCTTTGAATCTTTATTGTCATTTTCATTATTTTCACCGATTTTTTCAACTTTATCCAATTCTAAATTATTCGAAACGTCCTCGTTTGTATCTATTTTCCGGTTTGAACGATCGGAAAATTCATTTTTTTTGTTTTCCGAAGAATTTGATAAAATAGAGTCCAATTTACCGTCGAGTTCCTGCGAATCAACGAATTCGAATTTTGGAAAAGCAGCAGCAATAAATGAATTTTCATTTTTCCCTTCGGTATTTAATTTACCGACTTCCGGTAAAGACCAATTTTTTTCACTCAATTCGACATTGTTATTTTTTTTAAAAATAATTTCAGTTGAATCTTTGGTTTTCATTTCTTCGTCACTTGAAAGATTTCTTTCCATCAACAATTTTTTATTATTTTCATCGTTTTCTTCTTCTTCTTCTTCGAAAGCGTTCGTATTTTTTTCTGCTTTTCCGGAATGAAAATTTTTTTTTTCCTCATCGGTGGTGAAAACATTCATTTGATTTTTTACAATTTCGTTTGGATTTCCGGTCGATGATTCCTTAATTACTTCCGATACGCGTAAACTCGTCAATCCGTTTTTTTTTCGAGTTATCCCTCCTTCGATTAACCTTTCCTCCATTTCTGATTTATTTTGTCGAGGTGACGACGACGACGACGACGGATTTTTCATCACGCATTCATTTTCAAAAACCGAATCCTCAGGTAAATCATCAATTAAATTTAATTTAACGGTTTTTTCATTATTAAAAATTTCAGACTTTTCCTGAAATTCTTTGGCGCCGACAACGCATCCGTTTGTTTTGTCTTCTATTATTGAAGGCGCGAGTTCAACGTTTTTTTCAGTCTCTTTAAAATTTATTTCGCAATCTTTTTGAATCGGATCAGGCTCCCCGCTGAATTGGGTACTTTTTACAGTCATTAAATGTCCGTTTTCTACATTCAGGGCAGGTACGGAATGCCCGTCGTACAATTGAAGCAATTGTGCTTGCTCAGGATCAATATTTTGACAATCTAAAACTACCATTTGAGTCGAATTAACATTTTCTTCTTCCCCGTCAGCCCAAGTAGACCAAAATTTTCTCACGTCTAAAGAAGGCGGTGCTTCGGAATTGGTCGAAGGAACCGGAGATGATATATTAACGACTTCGCTTTTTTCCGCATTTAATTTTTTTTTCCTCAATAACCTCAGCGGAGATATTTTGTTTCCGGTGTTTTTGCTAACATTTTGACTTGAAATCGTTTCTAAAAAATTCGATTTTTTATTTTCGGAAACGCTATTATTGACTTTTGTTGTCGGTCCGGATTGTTTGTTTGATAACGATCTATATAAAATGTTTGAAGTGAATTGCTCTGGAAAAATTGGAGTTGAATGATTTTTTTCTTGCTGATGATTATTAAATGACTCACAGGCCAAAGTCTTATTTTCTGAGTTGTCAAAAGGCTGATTATCGTTATTTGTATTATTTAAAACCTTTCCCGATAAATTTCTTTGATTGATAACCTGATTGTTGTCATTTATTTGAAAATCACTCGCGTTGATCGGATGAGAATATTCATAACGGCCTGCGACATATTTATAACCTTGACAAGAATATTCAGAATGAGGAAATGTTCGACCTGGTATGAGATGATTTTGACTGTAAATCGGATTTTGCGTTTTATTTAAATAACGAAAATCACCAATCTTGGCAGATTTAAGAACCGGATTCGGTTGAGGCAGTCGTGGATGAGTAGGAAAATTATTATTTCGCGTAGAAACGTTGTTGGGATTTTCGGGTAGAAAATCACGTTTGTCGGTTTTGAAATTTTTGTCCAAATTTAATTCTTTAGAGTAAAAAACTGAAGGATGAGAATTGTTAACTTCCAAATACCTAGTCATATTTGGTAGCTGTCTAAATCTAGCTAAATTATTGTACTGCTGATCAGCATAGCATTTTGATTGAACAAAGGAATTCAGTGCGCAGTCTTTTTTGGTATCCTGTACAGAAGTTTGACTGTATCTTTTTATCAAATCGGGCACACCGTTACGTGTAAAATAATCAACGGATTTGTCACGATCGAGTAATAATTTTTGAGCCTCCGCTTCCGTAAGATTTTCATAATGCTTTGTTAAATCTCTATTTAAACCATACTGAGAATAATCCATTTGCGTTTCGTTACTGTTTTTCAAATCGATGGGCGACGATAAACCGGGAAACTGTCCGGGTTGAAAATTTTCAATCAAAGAACTTTCTTTTAAAGACGAAGGCTGAAAAATAACTCGCCCATTTTTATTCTCGTTAATTGTTATTTGGCATTCCTCAGGAACATTATTGATTCTTCTTGATTCATCGATAGGCGTTTGATATATATTTTCTTTAAGTCTTCGATGTCCAGTTGAAGGCACTCGATTTTGATTTAAATTTAAAGGCACTGCTTTCAAATAAGGCTCCACAACTGGGGATCTAGAAACGTGTTGGTCAATTGAATAAGACGTGGCTCCGCCTGAATGTCTATAAGGATCTACGTTTGAATATTTTTCACTGAAATCACAGATATTTGAATCACAATTTTTTCCGTCAAGCCTTTTTTCCAAATTCCGCGTAAAACCGTACGTCGAATTATACAGTACTGGTTGCCGTGCTCCAATTTGCCCGTAATAAGGTGTATCCTGCATAGCGGAATTCAATGAAATTTCATCTTTCTGCTTCAGGAAAATTTCTTTTTTAGAAAAATTTGCAATTTTCCCAGAACTCATCACCACGTCCGACTGATTCAATTCAGGTAATCTAGCATTTTGATACTGCCTATAAAATGTATTCTTCTCTTTGCCATCTTGAAAATACTGTGGGTGCAAGAGATTTCCTTCACCCACGCAAGATTCGTGATTAGGTAAACCGCTACCGCTACCACCACCACCATTCCATTGATGATGGTTTTCAAACAGTTTGTACGATTCATTTGAACCACTTATAGGAACTGGAAATGTTCTTGGTAACCATGGTCTGTGGCGATTAGAATCACCTTGGTAACTTGAATTTTCAGAGTAACAATCTGTGCAACTACATTTTTCGGTGTTATTTACAGGTGTAGGAATAGTTAATATGTTTGATTTATTCGGCCAAAATTCATGTTGTCGCTGGTAAGGATGACATTGTACTCCGCCGCTTTGTCCGTAAGACCATTTGGGTACATTTTCTTGCCTTTTCCCTCTTTCTTGAGAAAATTCGTTACATGAAATCAATGGTGTTTCATTGTAACCATTGAACATGATCAATTATTCTGAAATTTAAAAAAATTTTTTTTTTTTTTTTTATATTAACCGATGGCGGCGATTTTTTATTTATTTACAAATTTACGCGCGCACGTACACCCACCCACACATATTTTTATTGTAAAAAATATTAAAAAAAACATAACCCAGACATAGTTTTATTATCCGTTAGTAAATATACCTAATTATTGTATTTTATCAAGGATGCAAGATTCAAATACCTTAACGATAATGCACGCATACACGAAATGTGTGACACCAGAATCATTATTATGTTCACAATAACTTTTGTTTCACGGGTCAATTCGCCCCCCCCCTCCCCCCCCGAATAAAACTTTTTAAGATTTTAGATGGCATATTTCAGGTAGATTTTTACATATTACATTATTTTTTTACAAATTATTTTTAACGTATTATTATTGATCACAATACCAATTCTATAATCTTCTGATACATTTTTTTTTTTTTTGTTTATTCAAAAATATTTAAAGAAAAATTCAATAAAAATTTTCATTACATTTTTATTAAAATTCTATAACACTCTGCAAAAAAAAATTGTATTTTTTCTTTTCCATAACAATATGAGAAAAACATACAAGTTTAATTTTAAAAAAAAAGTAATAATATCATCACTTTTATAATTTAAATTTAAATTTAAAATTAAATTACTAAAATAAATAAAATAACAAAATATATATTCATGCACTCAATCGCACAGTACCGTAAGTTTTGTAATTGCAATTTGTTCGTGACATTTTTTTTTTTTCTATTATTATTATTATTATTATTATTCGAAATCATAAATTCTTCATTTCCGGTAATTTTTTTTTATTATTATTATTTATTTTTGTTTTGTTCTACAACAGTTTCAAAATGAAATTTTTTTTTTTTTTTATCAATACACGTGAATAAAAACAATATAAAATAATATTTATTTGTTTATATCCTCATGGTGAATTCATACTTATTCAGCAAAAGGAAAAAAAAAAAAAAAAAAAAGGAAAAAGCAAAAACCATAAACTATAAACGTCAATTAAAAAAAAGACAAAAAAACAAAAAAACAAAACAAAACGAAACATAAAAAAAAAAATAAAAATAAAAAAAGTTTTAGTTTGTCATGAATAAAGCAAGGAACACATCCGTTTGCGTGCATTGAAATTGATTAAAATCTAAAGGGAAATACACAAACACACACACACACACTGTTTTTAGAACAAACACACATTGACAATATATATATTTTCAAAAAAAAAATAAAAAAATCTTCACGAATATATAAAGCAAAACTTTTTACTGAACCCCCCCCCCCCCCCCCAAAAAAAAGTTATTATTAATAAACGCAATTTTTTTTTTTTTCTTCTTCTTAAATATCGATATCAGTTATATCAATGTCAAAATGCCAAGTTCATAAAAATCCACGTTTAAATTTTTGTACCTACTCATAAATCTAATCATATTTTCAAATAAATTGAATGTTAATGGGTTCAATGACCATAATGTCTACCACCTTTCGTAATCTTTAAATCACGTCTAAAACGTATCAGTTTATTTATTTATTTATTTATTTATTTTCTCACTGTTTAATAAGTCGTGTTGTTAAAATTAAAAATTGTGACAAAAGTAACGGGTTTCCAATAGAAAAAAAAAAAAAAAAAATTATTAAATAGTTATTATTATTTAAATCTACGGTAGTATTTATTTTTAAATTTTTATTTTGGTGTTTGATACGTCTGAATGTGGGCCATTCATTCAATAAATATATATATATATAAATAATTGAATTGTAAAAAAAAAAAAAACGTTAAGTTTTAAGTTAAACAGTAGAAAAACATTTATATGGCACAAGAAAAAAAAAAATTTATTTTAAAGGCATTAAGATAAAAACCCTAATCACCAATTTCAAAAAAAGAAAAAAATAAAAAGTTAAATAGTGCCTAAAAAATAAATAAAAACATAAAAAATGAGGAGGGATCGAGTTAAAAAACTTAATTTTTAATACTTTATGTTAGTTTCAAAAAGTTTTTTTCGAGCAATACAAAAAAAAAAAAAAAAAAAGATAAAGTTTAATTTTAAGATTTGAAAAAAAAAAAAAACAAAAAATGCTTGAATGATAATCAATATCACTGTGAAATGTTGATAATTAGGTTACACTGTCAATCATTTGGAAATTGTTTTCTTAGAAAAAAAAAAAAAAAAAATGTTAAATTCAAAAACAGATACTACTCTAAACTTCGACATCTGCAGTTCCAAGGATGCTTAAACATATTTAACTATAAAAAATTTTTTTTTAATATTTAAAACTTGAAAAAAAAATAATTTTTTACTCTGCTGTGATAATTTTTTCTAATGGTAAGTTGATAATTTAAAAATTTGAATTTAAAAATTAAGTGAAAAAAATTTTTTTGAAAAAAAAAAAGTTGTGCTCTATGTAAAATCTCGGCTTTACAATTACACAGAAAATGTTTTTTTTTTATTTTGTTATAAATATGGTAAAATATACATTTAAAAAAAGATGTGCATTTACATAAACAACATGTATGACAAAAAATTATTTTAAAATTAATAAGAAATTTTTTTAATAAAAATTATCATGGGGGAAAATTTATCGATAATGACTGGTTAGATACAATTTATATGAAATTGAAGTATTTAGAGTAACAATTATTAGATGCAAATTTATTAATGGATAGTCAATTAATAAACAATTTATTCTACTCATAAAAATCAAAATAAAAAAATTACCTTGAACAATGTTTTGCCTTGAATTTCAATTTAAAATTTTGCGCCACACAAAATTATTTTTTTAAATAAAACACATTTTATAAAACAAAAATGATTTTCAAACACACTCAAAATTAAGGGTGATTATTAATCCACCCTGATTAATAATTTTTCTTAAAAAAAAAAAAAAACTACTTTAAATAAACTAAATCACGGTGGATCAAGTATGCCGAATGATGTATAAAAATACATTAAATATAAATTAAAAAATTTATAAACTAACATATAATTAATAAAAATGATAAGAAAAAGAGGTACCGACACAATTGAGGGCCTTGGAAATACAAAATCATTAATGATGACGTTGCTACAGAGCAATTAATTTTGCACTACAGCAAATCATAACTCGCATGCTTTTTTTGTTTTTTTTTGGGGGGGGGTAAATCACGCGAAATTAAAAAAATAATAATTTTCACTTTGAATAACTTACACTAAAATATTGAAAAGATGTCACACACAAATCTGTCATTGTTGTCTTTAATCCGACAATTACTTTGCCATGTTTATTTTCAAGTCAAGGCAGAAAGTGGGATTGCGCATGAACGTTACTATGACGAAGCAGTTGCTTATTGACACTACGAGAAATCTGATTGGTCGAAATGGTTGTTTCCTTTGAATTATATAAATCCGTTAGTTCGCCATGTTGACTAACTGTTATATTAGGTTAGTTCTCGATGTAATTATTTTCGGTTTTCTTTTTTATATACATGTCTCATTTTTTCAACGTATCGTCAAATATAAAGAACAATATTAGAAAATTTGTTTTTGAAAAATGTCAGCTTCATTTCGGTAAGTTTCCCTGTCTTAATAAACTTTCTTTAACGGGCTGATTACTAGGCTACTAGTTTATAAGATTTAAGTTTTTTATTTTTACTTTTAAATAAAATAGAATGTCCGCATTTTAAAGAAGTAAGAATTTATTGAACAATTTATAAACAATTAATAACAGAAATAATAGTAAATATTTAAAATTGGTCTGGAATTATTAAAATCTAAGCAATTTTGCTTTTAAGGCGAAAATGGTAATGGCAATTACATATTTATTTTCTGATAATCGTGTACCAAGGCCACATAACTCTATTTGTCCTTCCTGAAAAAAAAAACAAAAAATAAACATTTGAAACAAAATGTAATCGAAATGAAAATATTCTAATTGAATATAATATTATTATATTATAATGGTTACCTTTTCATGTTTGTTAATACAGTCTTTAGGTCTTTTTCTTGGCAAATTATTTGAAAGAATTTTATGACAGTTAACAGACACATTAATGTCCATATCTTGTCCTATAAGCATGTATTGTATCTCTTCTGGTTCATTTGAAAATGTCATGTCGTTAATAAGACACAATGAATTAACTATAACCAATATTAAATTTGTATTTGGAATTGGCTGTGCAACAAATGGTCTTTGACTTCCTAAAAAAGTAAAACAATTTTCAACATCAGAGAAATTTTAAAAAAAAAAAAAAAAATTATTTATGTAAACATTTAATTAACAAACCATTAGCTCCTTTGCTGTAATTGTTATTATTATTAGGTTGTGGCAACATGTAAAGCTGAGTTTGTTGGTCGCAACTTTCAGGCCTTGTTTTTCTTATAATATACTCCATTTCTACTGTTTTTTCATGCCTGAATTCTGAAAATTCATCCATGGATGAATTGTATATCTCTCTCTGACATTGTTGCAAATCTTTATCTAAAAATTTATTGAGCGTTAATCGAAGTGTAAAAAACAACAACATAAAATTAAGTAATTAAGTTCTTACCTCTCTCATCTGACAAATAAGAATAGGACGTTAAGTAATCTGCATATATCGAACTAAGTTCAATGATTATCAATAGTAATTTTGCAAATAACCATTTGAAAAACCACAAGGACAATTTTAAAGGCTATAAAAAAAAATTATCGAAAATTTTAATGTTCTATAAAGCTGTAAAATTATAAATTTAATTTTTTTTTGTTTTTCGATAAAAAAAAAAAAGAAAAACTTTAAGAAAAGAAGGTGAATTACAGCGGTTAAGGTATTTCCCGAATTATCCGAATTTAAATCTGGAAAGCAAACCGCTTGATAATCATACAATGTTATTCTGCGATAAATATTTTCTTCCACTAGCATATTCATAACCGTCCCATGAATTTCTCCGAAAAATCTTCCAGTATGTTGAGAATTTTCAGATACTATTACGTATCCATTGTTATCTAACACGAAACAGTCAAGATCATCTGAAGCGCAGCTAACCGTACAATCCGCGTAAGGACACTGAAATTTTCAAAATCCCTTTTCTTTTATTTTGACCCCCAAAAAAAGTGTAAAAAAAATTTTTTTCCCCCAATAGGCTTACTGATGACACGGTGTTAAAAAATAATGTCGACATTGCACTGTGCCTGAATTGGTAACCCACAACTGCAGCAGGAGCTTTATTCTGTACAAAAATAGCTCTACTCGCTGTTACCATTGTTTCATTGTTGAAACCGACGTCAAATGGTACAGAATACACGAAGCTGGAGTTATTTATGTAGTATTGCTCCACTGCTCTTTTATACCAAATTTCATCAATGGCCTTATTGTAGATGTCACCGAAAGGTCTAAATTCAATTATTTGTTAATGTTTTATCGATGTTTTAGAAAAATATTTTTTTCAAAAGTAAAAATATCTTACAAGTGATCTTTTTTATCCGATGTTTCAAAATTTTTCCAACGCGTTAGCCCACTACGAGTGGCTAAAAATACAACAGTTATCCCAAATTTTTTTTTAAACTCTTCCCTGCAGCAGGAAAAACGAAAAAAAAAAAAAAATAGTAAAAAAAAAAACAATTTTTAGTTTTTATAAAAAAAAAATTGCGTGAATCAAATAAATAAATAGCAGCATTGAAAAAAAAGTGTTAGTAGTATTATTTTTTTTTAATCCATGGTTTTTGTCGACTCTCAGTGGACAGGATCAGGTTTTCATATTTTACTCCCTTTTTTTACTTAAAAAAAATAATAATAATAAAGGAAAATTTTTGATGCTATTTATGCAACAGTGATAAAGCTCCATTACGTTGAAACTAAACAAAAGCTTTTTAAAAATAAAAATAAATTATTATATAATTTAAAAATGGTGAATAATTTAAGTAAGTAATTACCTTGATAGTAGAACCATCAACATTGCGATCGGGCTACTTGTGAAATATTAACGTATCATTTATTAATAATTAAAAATAATTTCTGATTCTGACTGAAAGTTTTTCATTTTTAAATGAAATAAAAAAAAGAGTGTGTGATTCAAAAAAAAAATAATAATAATAAAAATGTGAAAAAATTGCACGTAGGCTTATATGCACATTAAATAAACAACATTAAATGCTTTTTTCATATTTATATAAATAATTGTGCGTTTTTGTGATAACTAATGTGTCATAATGCAATAAGTAATTTGATATAACTTACTCTTTGGTGTGTGATTTGGCCTCTTTAGTAAGTTCATCCGTAAATGATTTAGTAACCTTGCAT